TATTGAAGAATGTGTTTTCAATAGGATGTGTCATCTAGCTGTAAAATGCGATTTGATGATAAGGTTGGACAAATTGAAAAACAATCACATTTAAACATTATTTCTTAATAGAGTGAATGTAACTACAAGAGATAAACAGAAGACAGCATCCATTGCTACATCTAAGGTTATTACTCATCATTTCATTGAGGGAGAAAGGAAAAATAGGTGGAACCTTTTATCATAATGACATTCATCTGACTTATTTTATCTTTTTCAGATGTTGTTAATTACCCTTATTTCCCTGAATTAATAATAAAAATATACTGCACATTATGTATCATGGAATAAGGAAACTATTATCATTATTTGAAACCAAATTTGTATAATTGCTTAATAATTCTATACATAATGTTATGTTTATTTATTTGTAAGACAATCACGATTGTATAATTGAATAAACTTATCTAGAGTAGGACGATCAGATATGTAATTGACTTTCAACAATCAACAGTTGAACGGAAACTAAAATTAATACATAACAAGCAAAATTATGAATAAAACAGTGACTTTGAAAATTGCAATTTTATAGAAAAAATCACTATCTTATTAACCTAATTCATCCTTTATTTTGACATACCGTATTCATCACCATAACTGCCAGAACACTTAAAAAGTTTCAGATAAGTGGGTACTTCTTTTGACAGAATCCAACAAAATAAATCTAGAAATATCTTTCTGGTACAGGGATGAGCTGTCTTCCAGCTAATTTAGGTAAGCAGATGTTTACTATGTATGGGACTATTACAGTTCCAAGATAAAACTACAATGGCTGCTTTTTTGGTGCTGGACAGTTAATACATTGAATACGGTAACCGCAGTATCAAATCTACATTAAGATACAAGAAAATTAAATTTCAGAAGATTGTTCAGTATTTTATTCTACAATCGTCATTGACTTATATATTATTCAGAAGAAACTCAATCTTGTATAGTTGGTTTACCAGTTAAGATGCAATCGAGTATGTGCTCTAAATAACGATTAGTTAATGGATATAGACAGAAGAAGAATTTATTGATGAAGTAACAACTCTGTAGTGTAGATTGTCAAGTATTGATTCAGTATAGTTATGGCTATTGAATCCCCAAAAGACTTGTCTGACCAGTTCTTATTGACCAGTGTTACTTAATATCTGCATTTCTTTTATCCACAAACAAAATATATATATGCAATAATAGTTTTCTAGTATTGGTGTTGTTTTCAGTCAGTTGTATTTAGAACAGAGAAAGCTAGCCTGTTCATTTGGTTTCTTGATGGATTAGTTGTAATGGAAGTCAGTGAATTCTGTGTCAATGTTCAGTAAGCAAATTTCTGCTGGTGTGTGATGTTACTACTTTGAACTTTTTGGGTAAGGTGCGGCACTCAGAGTAAAATTCATATATTTATATAGAGAATCTCCTACAAGTATTTTTTATCAACACAAGTCGATAAAGTAACACAAACAAGGCTCTGCCGAGTTTTTTTTTACTTTATCGACGAGTGTTGATATGTTTTGATATAAAAAAAGACGAATGGGAGATTTTATTTATCACGCAATCCTTTCTTACATGCACAAATAAATAAATATAATTTTTTGCTGTAGATTTCACTTTTACAGAACCTGATTACATTACGGCGTAGTGATACATCATTTTTGTCCCCCGCCTTTCGAAGAAAGCAGGGGACTATTAAAATAGATCCGTCCGTCTGTCACACTTTTTGGGACACAATAACTCTCTAATTGAGCCAAAATGTTCAAACTTGGTGTAGGTTTATCAGGTCAATGCCTTGATGGAGTTCGAAGATGAACATTTTCTGCTTAGGGTAAGGAGATATAAGCAATTTGATTGGTGACGACTTTGGAACATAACAACTCTGCTTTTAATTGAGGTAGAATGATTAAACTTGATGTACATATAGATGTTCATTACTGAGTTCAGTGATTAACATTTCGAGCTAAAGCTAAGCAGAGCTAAGCAATTTCATTGGTCGATGCTTTGGGACAAGATAATCTTGATTCTATTTGATAGAGTGATGAAACTTAGTGTATAGTTTGATTGCTCGATACTTTTGAAAAAAATAAATGTGCTATTAAACATACATTATGCAAGAGCTAAATCTGTCAATCGCTTAGTTCTCGGTTCATAGTGGATCAATTTGAATGAAATTTTCAGCAAATTGCCTTTACATTATCTAGTTTTTATACGCCCACATTGAAATGTGGTCGTATATTGTCGTCGCCCCCGTCCGTCGTTCCGGCGTCCACAATTGTTTGTGGACGTACTAGAGTCTAAAGTTAATATCCGATTGACTTTAAATTTATACACAGTGTTTGAGATCACGAGACGAAAAAGCCAATTGATTTTCCAGCAATTTAAGATAATTACTGCCAGAGTTATGACCCTTGATCACTTTGAAAAATCTTGTGGATGCTCTAGAGGCTAAAGTTAATATCCGATTGACTTTAAATTTATACACAGTGTTTAAGGTCATGAGGCGAAGAAGCCTATTGATTTTCAGTGATTTCTGATAATTACTGCCAGAGTTATGGCCCTTGATCACTTCAAAAAATCTTGTGGACGCTCTAGAGGCTAAAGTTAATATCCGATTGACTTTAAATTTATACACAGGGTTTAAGGTCATGAGACGAAGAAGCTTATTGATTTTCAGCGATTTCCGATAATTACTGCCAGAGTTATGACCCTTGATCACTTCAAAAAATCTTGTGGACGCTCTAGAGGCCTTAGTTAATATCCAATTGACTTTAAATTTATATACAGTGTTTAAGGTCATGAGGCAAAGAAGCCTATTGATTTTCAGCGATTTCCGATAATTACTGCCAGAGTTATGGCCCTTGATCTTTTCAAAAAATCTTGTGGACGCTCGAGAGGCTAAAGTTAATATCCGATTGACTTTAAATTTATACACAGTGTTTAAGGTCATGAGACGAAGAAGCCTATTGATTTTCAGCGATTTCAATTAATTACTGCCAGAGTTATGGCCCTTGATCACTTTGAAAAATCTTGTGGACGCTCTAGAGGCTAAAGCTAATATCCGATTGACTTTAAATTTATACACAGTGTTTAAGGTCATGAGACGAAGAAGTTTATTCATTTTCAGCGATTTTTGATAATTACTGCCAGAGTTATGGCCCTTGATCACTTCAAAACATCTTGTGGGCACTCTGGTGGCCAAAGTTAATATCCGATTGACTTTAAATTTATACACAGTGTTTAAGGTCATGAGGCGAAGAAGCCTATTCATTTTTAAGCGATTTCCGATAATTACTGCCAGAGTTATGGCCCTTGATCACTTAAAAATATCTTGTGGATGCTCTAGAGGCTGAAGTTGATATCTAATTGACTTTAAATTTATACACAATGTTTGAGGTCATGAGACGAAGAATCCTATTGATTTTCAAAGATTTCCGATTAATTACTGCCAAAGTTATGGCCCTTGATCACTTTGAAAAAGTTTTAGTGTATTATAAATGTTTCATTACCGAAAAAAGTAAAAATATGCGACAACACTTGTTGACTGCCCGGACGATTTAGCTGCTGTGGGCGTATGTTTCGTTGCCTGGCAACCTATCTTTAACTATTATAGTGAGAACTGCCAACTCGTTGTTGAATCTCCCATAATGTATCTTTAATATGCGATTTCAGCGGGGGACATCAACCTCACTGTTGGCTTGTTTGACAGCAATTCAATCATTGCAAAGTCCTGTATATTGACCCAGTTTTCCCATCAAGGTCAATTAAATAACAATAGTTCATTTATAATATAAAAAAATGTTACTTTTAATAAGAAATGAACTGTTCTTTGAAAATAAAAAAAGTAGTTCCTTTTCAACTGACCAATCAAGTTCATGTAGATTATGAAATATATCACACAAGCGATATCTACTGTAGAATGTATTATTGGGTAATAAATTAATTTATGTAATATAAATCTAATTAACCTAGTCGTGGTCTACAGATTTAGTTAATTAAATCCAGATATAGGCTATTGACTTCTTAATAAGATGGTCATTGTGGCAAGGAATTTGTTATAAATTGTTGATTGTTTGAGGACAGTAGATTAAATCAGATTATAATTTTGTGGACAGTAGATTAAATCAGATTATGATATCATGTAGTTACATGTAGTTAGGTTTTGATTTAATTTGTAACACTGGCTAGTCTTACAATCTGTGCTGCTGCTCCATGTTAAGGATATTTGTAATGGCTACCACAAACTTATGTAGCTTTTTCGGTAATGGTATGTGATTATTGTTTTAAAGTATTGTGGATGTAAATGCTAAATTTTCAAAAAATAAAATGAAATGAGGTTTAACGTCCTACTGTTTTCAAAAAACAACATTACCAAAGAATGAGAAGTGGTATCAGGTGCTCTAGTCAGTTACTTATCAGTGTGAAAATTAATTAATGAGAGCATAAACAGGCAAGGTACTCGCATCTTTTTCAGCAATCTTGTTTTGTCACTTATAAAAAAAAAATGATATGTATTATTATACAAATGTATGTACAAGATAGACAAGTTTTGATAAACAAGAGAGTGAATTCTGATGAAAATGGCTATGTCTATAAAGAATTAATTTAATCTATAGATACTTACAGATGCATGCATCTTGATGTGGAAATTTGATAAAAAAAAAACATGATGGTATATCGACCTCAGTTAACGTCATTGTCTTCTAAGAAACAGGTTGAGTTGTTGGGGCACTAGACTTTCAACAAGAATGTCCCGGATTTGAATCACAGTATGGGCTTAAAAGAGCTTTTCAGATTTGTCAAGCCCAGCTTTCACTTTATAGAATGGCAACTAGTCATTTGGAAGATACCCCCAAATAAAACATGTATACACAGTGACATGCTTTTCATGGTCATGAAACTCTGTACAAAAGGTTGAATTAATTATTAATAGAATATTGTTAAATACGACCTGATATCTAATGTAAGCATATATTTATATATTACAGAAGGCAGCCATGATCATCATGATCTAGAAGATTTAGATGATGATCCTACTAACTGGCTGGCACCAGAAGATGAAGAAGAAGAAGATGGAACATCAAATGTTGATGTTATTTCACCTGAACAAGAACTATTTTCTCTCATGCAACAACTAGATGATGAACGGTTAGTATAAAACAAGTCAATATGATCTGACAGTACAACCATATACTACATATGCCCGCCCCCCCCCCCGTCTATTTTCAGGATCAGAATCCAAATTTATACATACATCTAGGTCAAAAAACAAAACAAACATGTTTTGGTCCTTTTCGTCTGTACATTTATGTTTTATTTTTAATATGTCAGTTGTTTTTTTGTCCCCCGCCTTTCGAAGAAATCAGGGGACAATTAAAATGGGTTCGTCCATCTGTCTGTCCATCCATCTGTCTGTCTGTCCGTCACACATTTTGGGACACAATAACTCTCCTTCTAATTGAGCTAGAATGTTCAACATGAGCATTTTCTGCTTAGGGTAATCAAAGTGAAGCAATTTGATTGGTTGATGTCTTGGGACACAATAACTTTAGTTCTAATTAAGTGAGAGTGCCGAAACTTGGTGTATAGTTTCATTACATCAATACCTTGACTAAGTTCGATAATGAACATTTTCTGCTCAGGGTAAGCAGAGTGATAAGCAATTGGATTGGCCGAGACTTTGGAACACAATAACTCTCCTTCTAATTGAGCTAGAAAGTTTAAACTTGGTGTAGGTGTTGATTAGATCAATGCCTTGATGAAATTCAAAGATGAGCATTTTTTGCTTAGGGTAAGCAGAGATAAGCAATTTGATTTGTTGATGCTTTGGGACACAATAACTTTGGTTTTCATTAAGTGAGAATGATGAAACTCCGAGTTTGACTAAGTTTGATGATGACAATTTTCTGCTTAGACTAAGGAGAGATAAACAATTTGGTTTTCATCAAGTGAGAGTGATGAAACTCAGAGTATAGATTCATTATATCATTACCTTGACTAAGTTTGATGATGACAATTTTCTGCTTAAACTAAGGAGCGATAAACAATTTGATCGGTCAAGACTTTGGAACATAACAACTCTGCTTTTAATTAAGGTAGAATGTTTAAACTTTATGTTGATGTTCATTAGGTGAATGTCTTGACTGAGTTCAATGATTAACATTTTGAGCTAAAGCTAAGCAGAGCTAAGAAATTTCATTGGTTGATGCTTTGGGACAAGATAACTTTGATACTATCTGATAGAGTTAGTGTATAGTGTATCTGATGAAAGTTAGTGTATAGTTGATAATCAGTTTGATTGCTTGATACTTCTGAATAAAATAAATGTGTGATTAATTAATATGTGTCATCTATTTATTTTGGGATTTCGGCGGGGGACATCAGCCTCACTGTTGGCTTGTTATACGCTCACATTGAAATGTGGTCGTATATTGCCGTTGGTCGGTCCGTTGTCCACAATTCCTAGTGGACGCTCTAGAGGCTAAAGTTAATATCCGACTGACATTAAATTGATACACAGTGTTTAAGGTCATCAGACAAAGTCGAAGAATCCTATTGATTTTCAATGATTTCCAGTAATTATTGCCAGAGTTATGGCCCTTGATCACTTTAAAAAAAACTTGTGGATGCTTTAGAGGCTAAAGTTAATATCCGATTGACACAGTGTTTAAGGTCATGAGACAAAGAAGCCTTTTGATTTCCAACAATTTACACAGTGTTTATGGTCATGAGACGAAGAATCCTATTGATTTTCAACTATTTCCAATAATTACTTCCAGAGTTATGGCCCTTGATCACTTTGAAAAATCCTGTGGATGCTTTAGAGGCTAAAGTTAATATCCAATTGACACAGTGTTTAAGGTCATGAGATGAAGAAGCCTATCGATTTTCAAAAACTTCCAATAATTACTGCCATAGTTTTGGCCTTTGATCACTTTGAAATACCTTGTGGAGGCTTTAGAGGCTAAAGTCAATATCCAAATGACTTTATAGTTTTACAGTATTTAAGGTCATGAGACGAAAGAAGCCTATCAGTTTTCAATGATTTCTGATGATTATGGCAATTGATATTTAATGTTTTGTATGCTAAATGTTAGAATAGGGCAGAACTAGAAGCCAAATGGGTTGTTACTCGTAATCAGATTTTAGTGTGTTGTAAAAGTTTTCATTTCTGACGTAAAAAAAAATGCAACAACCCTTGTTGACTCCCCGGATGACTTAGCTGCTGTGCGCGTATGGCTACCTATCTTTATATTGTAATGTTACAATTATCGACGGAGAAATATTTGATCCTGTCGATATTCAGTTGATAATTTGCAGAGGATTGACTGGTGTGAGAAATCAGAAAGGGCCATGTAAAATAAGCAAAGTAGTTTAACAGTAAATAGTGTTCTGGATCTCACTCTCCCATTGGCTTGTTTTAATGTAAATTGTCCGATCTGGATGTTGTTGTTTTTCTATTACCACAGCTCCAGTGCTAAAATTTACATATCTGGTAGACCCAGACAGTATGCACAATTTATACTGAAAGAAATTCTACTTGTATTCAAGTACATATTGATTGATTGGTTCATATTTAGACTATAATTAGAATATTAAGCATGAACTAGAAATCATACAGTGGGTTTCTACTTGACAAATGGCAGGTTTATTTTAATATTATAATGCCCATTGTTCTGTATATTTTAGTATGTAATCAATATTCTTTTTCTATGGAAAGTGAGGTATTAAAAGTGAAATTTATACATGTTTATTAGATATGTCTCTTCACTAGTACTGTATATTAAAAATCTAACAATTCCAAAATAAAGTATATTTTACCAGAATAGACAAGTAGGAATAGATTATTCACCCAATACTGTCTATAAAACATAAAATTAGAATGTCATAAGTTGCATGGCATATTTCAAATCACTTGAATCTTTGGGACACCATTTGTCACCTCCTTTTTTACAAATTTCAAATCTGAATTTAATTTAGATTGATTATTGTTGAATAATAATGCAGATACAATTTGCATATTCCCCATTTTATAATTGTTGTACATATTATAGACAAAAAGAAAGTGAGTTCTCAATGAATATAATATAATGTAAAGCTCTATAATAATAAACCATGTGACCTAACGCCCAATGATGTTATCAATTATCTAATTATATAATGATTACCCTCAGTATTCATTTGCCATTAATGAAAGATGTAGGCATTAATGGTAATTATTTTAATGACAGGAACTGTATATTACGAGAAGCTGAAGAAGAAAATAAACAGAGGAAATGGTTCTATGATCAGTTAGAAGTAATTAGTAGTAAAATTGATAATATACCCATCCCAGAACAGGTTTGTAATACGAATTTTCATTCATAATTTTACCATAGTCAAATTCTTCTTTTTTTACCGTATGGTAATGTGGTAGGAAAAAGATTCCAAAATTTTCATAAATAACTTTTAAGATTTGGGGTCATTTTAATCAGCTAAAGCACAGTTATATAGTGACTTGAACTTTCTCGGCAAACACCTGGAGATGAGAGGTTAGGAATGTGTAGTTTAGTTTACAGTGCATAATGTAGAAATTAGTTTTGAAATGATTGAAGTAGTACTGATGCTTGTTGTCTGTAGTGATAACCAGTAGATCAGATATAGACTGATTATTGTTGAGATATAGTATAATTTGGCAAGTTATATTGATGGCTAACAAGATATACACCTGTACTATGTAACTAGTATAATCATCCCATAGATAAATTATTCTATATGGAGTTTTGGCAGAATATAAGAAAACAAACTATTCTATAAATACCTGATGGTGTTACTATCTATTTTCTCTATAAGCACGGTTGGAAATTGAAAATACTGAAATATATTCTGTTCTTTTATGGTTATCCCTTAAGTTGCTAATCTGTTTCAGACAATATGTGATTTTTCATGACTGAATCCACTCTAAAATGTACTCAGGTTGTTTAAATAACCTTAATTAAGACAACAAATTTTTAATGGTAGATGATCTCTGAGCTTGGATTCAATCAAATTAAAAAGAGGCCCATCAAACGTCTTCAGAAGATACCAAATGTTAAGGTTCATCATATCTTTTTAAATACAGACCAGAATTGATCTATTTGTTTTACTTATGTTCTTTTTATCCCCCGCCTGTCCACCATACATTTTGGACACAATAACTCTCCTTCTAATTGAGGTAGAATGTTCAAACTTGGTGTAGGTGTTTATTAGGTGAATGCCTTGATGGAGCTCGAAGATGAGCATTTTCTGCTGAGGGTAAACAGAGATAAGAAATTTGATTGGTTGATGCTTTGGGACACAATAACTTTGGTTCTAATTAAGTGAGAGTACCGTGACTAAGGTTGATAATGAGCATCTTCTGCTTAGGCTAAGTAGCGATAAGCAATTTGATTGGTGAAGAGTTTGGAACATAATAACTCTGCTTTTAAATGAGGTAGAATGCTAAACTTGATGTAGATATTCATTAGGTGAATGTCTTGACTGAGTTCAGTGATTAACATTTCCCGCTAAAGCTAAGCAGAGTTAAGCAATTTCATTGGTCGATGCTTTAGGACAAGATAACTTTGATTCTAACTGATGGAGAGTGATGAAACTTAGTGTATAGTTTCACTACCAGGTACGGTACTTCAAAACCTTGACTGAGTTTGATCGTGAGCAGTTTATGCTCAGACTAAGTATAGATAATCAGTTTGATTGCTCGATACTTTTGAGAAAGATAAATGTGCAATTAAATAATATGTGTCATCTATTTACATGACCTTGGTTTTTCGTCCCATCTGAACAACTTGACATTGTCCTTGCCTGGCCCTCCGTCCTGCACCACTGACGAAGGGAAACCATGCCGGAAAATCCTTACAGACTTTTCCTAATGGATCACTCTTTTTCGATGATTATTTTTGAACATGTTACATTAACCATTTTTGTGTTCTTTTTATTACAGTATAATTTACAAACAGACATGACTAGAAGACAATTGGAATATGATGCTAAACAGCTGACTGAAACATTGCATGAAAAACTAGGTACCGGAGATCAAATAGCCTTAAGACAAAGTGCCAGAGTTCAACGTTTACGCACAATAGAAGCAGAGATGATGGAGTTACAAAAACGACGTCATCAAATACAGGTAGACTATTTATAGATATAATATTAGTTCATTTCAAGTTTTTGGCTGAGCAAAGCAGACATAGTGTCAAGCTGACTTGATGTTTAGTTAGTGTCAAGTCAGTGTTGAGTTATTCAACAGATCTTCAACTCTTCTTTCAAATTGGGTTACTGAGATGTTCACATTTTTCTTTAAACCATGCATGTACCAATACAGAATCAAGCTTTTTAGTTGTCTAAGTCATCAATATACAGGCCTTGAGATCTGAAAATCACGCTGGAGTGATAAAATGTGTTCGCCATATCTTTTGCAGGAGCTATTTAACACCGCCAGATTTCTGAGACAATGCTTATTATAACTAGTTTACATTAAATTTAAAGTGTAGGCTATAAATTATAAATAAACACTGTTTAATACATGTAGTAATACTGTAATAACTGTTCATAAATATAAAAACATTTGAAAGAATTCATTTCTTTTGATATCATTACATTTTGACATCTCCACGAATTTATTGTTTTGCTTTAGAACAGTGGGACAAGCTCAAATTATATTTACATTAGGGTGATTACGAAGTGTTGACATCTCTATGAAGAGAGGGCTACGATCTAGTGCCGTAGGTAGTCCACTAAACAACAATCCTGGGCTTCCAATATGCCTTTCAATCACAAATTATGCCACTGTATGTCAGCTTCTAAACGTATCATTTATTTACTATCACTGTATTTTGAATATTTTTGGGTTTTATATTCTTTTAAATAATTTTAAAAATAACTGTCAATGTTTTGTAATTTTTTTGGCAGAATTCTGAAATAAATATGTAGAAATGTGCATCTATGTAATTTTTTTTACAACCGATCTAAATTTCACGTTTCTCTTCCAGACTCGCTTGTGTTTCTTCACCTCGGAATCGCTCATTAAATTGATAATTCTATGTCTCGGAGGATAGCTTTGCACCTAAATAAATGAACAGCGATGTGATGGTGACATATAAAATCGGCCATGGTTTTGGGGATAATGTCGCCACTATTTTGAGCCCAAAGATCGATGTCAATAAAATTGAATACTTTGCTGGTGTGATAATTCGTGTTCGCTAGTTTCAATTTGCGAGCGGGGGTGCCATCGTACCCATCAAATCTTAAGGCCTGAATATATCGGTTTGCTTCTGTTCCTTTCTTCTGATAACTAACTCAACTTAAACAACTTGAAAAATAGAATCCTAAGGATTAGTGTTTAGGTGATTCTTTGATTGATTTTTTGTGAAAAAAAAAAAAGATAATATTTAATTTTACTTTGATATGATCGACTAATAACATAATGTTTTTGGAAGGATAACACCAGATAAAGTTTGAAATATACAAATGTAACCAAGGTGGTCCACTGATATACAATTACCAGATAATGCACAGTTTTGCCACAGATAGATTCTATGAAAGTCTCCTTTCATTGTTGGTATTGTTTCTTTTAGATGGCTGAACTTAGTGCTGCTAAGAATGTATTGAAAGATGTAGCTGTTAATACAATCATTTGTGGAGAGGTAATCCGTTTTTAGGACATTTAGATTAAGTGGGGAATGTTTTTATACGCCCACATTTATATGCTGTTCCCCCTGTCCGTCTGGACGTCCACAATTTGTTTGTGGACACTCTACAGGTCACAATTTTTATCCGATTTTGACAAAACTTAAAATGTAGGTCTAATCCCCCAAAGATCTCGGCTCCTTTTGATATTGGCATGTATCGGACCATAACTTCATGGATTATGGCCCCTGATTGTACGAAAAATCATGTTTTTAGCTTGTGGACACTCCAGAGGTCACAATTTTAATCGGATTTTGATGAAACTTGAAATGCATGTTTATAACCCAAAGATCTTGGTTCCTTTCGATATTCGCACATATCGGATCATAACTTCCGGAATTATGGCCCCTGATTTTTCGAAAAATTGTGTTTTTAGCGTGTGGTCCCTCTAGAGGTCACAATTATTATCCGATTTAAAAAAAAAAAAAACGTTCGAATATATCAATGTCTGTTGAGTTTGAATTTCGTGAAAATCGGGCCAAAACTGTGGGACAAGATGGCCGCCCCTCATATGCAAATAGTGTAAATATCTGGTATATCAAGGTTGTGGACCCTCTAGAGGTCACAATTTTGATGAAACTTGAAATACATGTTTATAACCCAAAGATCTTGTTTCCTTTCGATATTCGCACATATCGGATCGTATCTTCCCAAATTATGGCCCTTAATTAAGGCTGTGCAAAAATATCGATATAATCGATAATCGGTAGAAGTTATTTAGCTATACGATAATCGATATTGAAATTCAAATATCGATTATCGGTATATTTACCTTCTGACGGCAAGTTACGGTCACTTTCACATGACTGAACTTACCGTAGTCTGGCATTAGCAGACGAATGAATGAATACACAACGTCAACACAACAACTATTTCCACCCTCTGCTTACAAACTGGCACATTTTAAATATATATTATTGTAAAAAACTAAAGTTTAAGATTAAATACATTGTTTTAATATTTTCGTTGTTTTTGTTGTTATTACTAGTTGAAACTAAAATAGGTCACGCACTTTGTGAACAATGACAATCGCACGTGATATATAGTAAAATTAGAATTATCTCCCTTCTTTGTTCTTGATTGATTTGTAGAGAAATCGTCTGCTTTCACAATAAAACTAATTGTATTATTAATGATCAACTCCGCTTTTATTACTAAATCATGTCAGATACAGCCCATACAAAACACGTTTTTGACTTCCAGGGAAAATATCTATATCTCTCGTAATTTCGTGGAAGAGTTCTACTTTGGTTTTCATCTAAATTAACCAATCATAAAAATTCTACTTTGAAAGCCCGTAATTATTTTTTTATTGTCCAATCAATAGACACCTTCTATTTTATTTTATTCTATTAGTAGTAACACTGTGTGATCGCCAGTCACTTGCAAAGAGAAACCATGTATTGTCTTTGTATTTATCGGAGATATTGGAATAAAAAAAGGTTCAAATAAATCAAGAACAAAACTTAGAATAATACTCAAGTTAGTCCTACATTTAGCAACTACATGTAATTATTTTACATTAATTGATTTTTTTACGTACATCGGCACAGTATTAGACTAGGATAATGACACTACTGTAACTCGATCAACACAAATAACAGGTCGGTAAAGTTCGGATTTTTCCGGAAAAATGATAATCGATTATTATCGATAATCGCTGACAAATTCTTGCCGATAATCGATATTGAAATTTCATATCGATTCCCAGCCTTACCCTTAATTGTACAAAATTTTAAAAAAAAAGTTTGAATATATCATCGTTACACATTAATATCTTGGTTCCTTTAGATAATCGCGCATATCCGAAAGTAACTTCCTGGATTATGGCCCCTGATTATTCGAAAAATCGCATTTTTAGCTGGCGGATTCTCTAGAGTCACAATTTTTTTTTCCGATTTTAAAAAACGTTTAAAGCGGAAATTGCAAATTTTTAAGTTATATTTTTAAAATTTATTAAAATAAAGCCCGAAAATAGATGGTATCCATAAACAGCCCTACCTTGTTAAAGAATAATCCTATTAATCCTATAATTCACTATTGCCAGCTGAGAAATTGGCAAAAATATCATTTTCCTCTTCATTTTCAAATGTTTGAAAAAGCTACTCCATGGTGGAGAATAGAAAACAAGGGAGGTATTTGGGAGGTAATTGTGTTATTATTTCCTGTGTAAATGAGTTGTAAGTGTGAGAATGACACATACGATCGTACAATTGTGAGTTGACAATCTATTGAGCAAAAGACATAGAAATAATTACGTTTTGACTTACTTAGAAAATTTGCAATTTCCGCTTTAAATATCACCATTCCACCATAATGAAGGTTGGAGTCGAATTTCAGGAAAATTGAAATGAAACTGCCCGACAAAATGGCCGCTGTTTGTACAAAAATTGTGTAAAAGTATTTAATACGAAGGTTGTGGACCTTCTAGAGGTCACAATTTTTATCCAATTTTGATGAAACTTAAAACATATCTTTATATCACAAAGATCTCAGTCCCTTTTGATATTTGTGCATTTCAGACCATAACTTTCTGGATTATTGCCCCCGATAGTACAAAAAATCATGTTTGTTTTTAATTTGTTCTCTATCCATCTCTTGCAAATGTGGGTGTATCCTGCCTGGCAGCTGCTGGTTAGGCTTAAATTTAAATCAAGTGGTGGGCCCAGTTGGATGACCTACTCCCCCTGAAATTGGCCTGAAATAAGCAAAGGGAAACCCATTGGTAAATATATTGCAATGAGAATCAGCAAGGTATCCTTTAACACTCAACATTAGTATGTATTGTATTTATTCATACATAAATTTTTTTGTATTTAGAACTGATTCCAACAATGGACAGTTTGCCCTTATTTTATTATCATCTTTTCATGGACCCGTCCCTCTCATGCATATTAGGTTTGTTACTCTTTAAGTTGAAAAGTTACACAATTTCATGGTAATATTATGGTGTTGGCAGACAGATAAAAAGTTTATACTGTGGTGAGTGATTTTCCGTCTATGTATGACGTGGTCATTATTTCTGAATGTATTAATATTTATAGGTATTTGTACCGAAGCCTGGATGCGACAATAACAGTTACACATCAGACAAAAGAATGATTACTTCAAATACTGGTAAATATCTAGTTTGTATAGCCACTCAAACGTCAGATGTCGTCCTTCAAGAGCTTCCAGCAGACGGCATGGAGGATGGTATTCCATGTACGCAGAACTTGTCTTCCATGTATCATGGTGCATGGCCAAATGTCAAAGGTAATGATTGATGGAATGGTGTAGTCGGACACTGACTTTAAAGTTCTTGACTGTTATTATGACAGATCAATAGTATTACTTAACTGTAATATTCTGATTATTTAGTCTGTGAAATGAAATAAAATCGGATTTAACGTCCTACTGTTCTGCTCCAACTGGGCTAATGAAGGCAGGCATAAGATTTACTCTCTGAGCCACTGTGGCTCCCTGTTTAGTCTTTAATAAGTGAACTGAAATAAGGGAAGTCTGTGGGAATATTTAAATGTTTTGATATTTCAATTAAATGGCTTTCTTAAAAACAATCTAGGTTATTTTTTATATCAACTATATTTAAATTTAAGAATGGAATACAGCATGAAGAAAAAGCATTTGTGAAGGTTCTAGTTATCATCTGTGACACAACGAATCCAATTCATTTTCCTTAATTTCTAATAATTACTGTCAAAAGTTATTGCCATTGATCAATTTAACATATGTTGCTATAGAGACTAATGTATTGTCTGCCTTGAAATTTATGGAGTTATGGCTCTTGATCAATTTGCAACAATCTTGTGTATGCTCTGGAAGCTTATTTTATCTGATTGACTTTGAATTTATACACAGTATTTATGTTTATGAGATGAAGAATCCTTTTTGATTTTTGAAAACTTGAATAGATAAAGTTATCTGATCATTGATACACGTTTTGTATAATAAATTTTAGCACCTGAGAACTATAAGCCAATCAAATTTTAATTATTTCCAATAATAATTTCATGGGTTGCTATTCTTGGATTAGTTTATAGTGTCTTTTGAATGCCCCCATTACTTACAAAAGAATACCTATGCGACCACCTTTGTGGACTGCTGGAAAGACTTAGCTGCTGTGGGAAAATCTAGATTTGAGAATCTTAACTTGACCTTGAATATTGGATAGATGATATTCAGTGTCTTTAAAATGATACATTTTAGTTCCAAATTATTTCACTTTATTGGTTATGATAAAGGTTAAGGTCTGAAATGAATCAGATGCATATTATTTACCTCAAATTCATAAAGGATAGCACATCTGAATGGTTTCGAATAACATCCTCTCAGTTCAACATTGACAATCAAGTAAGCACAAGAAAACTTGGCACTAAAGTACATATCAACTGAACAAGAAAATATATCGACCAGTCAACACAGTACTTATAGAAACATGTTTTTCATCTGTCAGCAATTCTCTCAATTTATAAGCACTCCCAGTGTTATTATATATCATTAATTAATATTTTTATACATAGCCCACATGGAAATGTGGTCGTATATTGCTGTCGCTTCTGTCCGTCATTCACAATTTCTTGTGAACACCCTACAGACTGCATTTATTAATTTAATATCTGATCAGTTTGAAATTAATTTCCGTTAATTACTTCAAAAGTTATAGTCTTTGTTGAACCTTGTGAATGCTCTAACGACGGACGTTATCATCCAATCTGTATTAAATTGGCATGTATTATTTATATGAGTAAAACGAAGAAGCCTATTGAATTTCAGTAATTTCTGTTAATAACTTCTAGAGTTATGACCCTTGTTTCACTTTGTTGAACCTTGTGACAGCTCTAAAGATTAAATTTACGTGCCTTATTTAAATTAGTAAAACGAAGAAGCCTGTGAAATTTCAGCAATTTCCATATATAACTGCTAGAGTTATGGCCCTTGTTTCACTTTGTTGAACCTTCTGACCACTCTTAACGACTTACACAATGTAAGTTATCATCCAATCTGTATTAAATTTATATGCATTAATTAAATTAGTAAAACAAAGAAGCCTATTGAATTTCAGCAATTTCCGTTTATAACTGCTAGAGTTATGGCCTTATTTCACTTTGTTGAACCTTGTGTATGTTTTAAAGACTTAAAGATACATTAGTTAAGAGTTTTATAAAGAGTTGGCCATTCTTGCTATAATAATTAAAAAATAGATGATATAAAAAGAAAATGTTGAAAATTTCAAATTACTTTGTTCTGAACGAAATTGTCACTGTTGGAAGTTTAGACTAGAAATAGCCATCAATTGTGTCTGCACCGTCTATGAGAATTGGTGATCGTTTAATTAACAGACGATAACTCCACCCACATATTCTCGATTATCAAAGAACATGCGTGATGGCTATGGTAGCCTCACTTGGCAGGCCTTTCATCACCAGTTTCCGATAATGACATCAGCAACTAACGGTAAATGTTAGCTTAGTCCGCCATTTATTGATTTAATTTTAAATGGATAACTGTTTAAATCCAAAGTGTATCCAAGCCATCCGTGGGTCTACAGAGTTGATTTTGTGCTTGTCGTGTAAATAAAGATCTAATTAATAATTTCTATAACATCTGAAGCCTAATCCTTAATCCTTATAATTTTTATACGCCCACATGGAAATGTGGACGTATATTGCTGTCGCCCCCGTCCGTCGGTACGTCCGTCCATCGTCCATAATTTCTTGTGAACGCTCTAACGCCAAAAGATATCATCCAGTTGTTTTAAAATTGATATATGTTGTTTACATTAGTGAGATGAAGAAGCCTGTTTAATTTCAATATTTTCCGTTTATTACGTCTAGAGTTATGGCCCTTGTTCCACTTTATTGAACCTTGTGAACGCTCTTACGCCAAAAGTTATCACCCAATCTTTGTGAAATTTATATGCATGATTTAAATTAGTGAAACGAAGAAGCCTATTTAATTTCAATAATTTCTGTTTGTTACATCTAGAGTTATGACCCTTGTTTCACTTTATTGAACCTTGTGAACGTTCAAACACCAAAAGTTATCATCTGATCTTTCTGAAATTTATATGCATTATTTACATTAGTGAAACGAAGAAGCCTATTGAATTTCAGCAATTTCCGTTTATTACTTCTAGAGTTATGGTCCTTATTTCACTTTGTTCAACCTTGTTAATTCTTGATTGATGAAAGTTACATGTATCATCCGATATGTATGAAACAGAGGTCTATTGAATTTCAACAATTTCCGTCAATAATTTGTAGAGTTATGGCGGTTGTGAACCTTGTGACAAAAGTGATCATTTAATCTGTATGAAATTCATATGCATTATTTGAATTAGTAAAACAAAAAAGCCTGTCAAATTTCAACAATTTCTGTAGATTACTTCCAGAGTTGAGACCCTTGCTTCAGTTTGTAGAACCTTGTGAACCCTCAAACGGCAAGAATTATAATCTGATCTGTATGGAACTGTATCGTAAAGGCCCCCAATTACCTGCAAGGGAATAAATATTCGACAACCCTTGTCAACCGCTCGGACAATTTAGCTGCTGTGGGCGTATGTTTCGTTGCCTGGCAACCTATCTTAATTTAATTTGAAGCCTAAATAAAGACACGCAATAGGCAGATTTAGCTCATGCATAAAGTATGTTTGAATTATCTGTATGAAATTTACATGCATTATTTAAATTTATAAAACGAAGAAGCAAATTTCAGCAATTATTGTTTCACTTTGTTGAACCTTGTCAACGCTCTAATTACAAAAGTTATCGTCTGATCTGTATTAAATTTAGGACACATAAAAAAAAATATTCTGGTTCTCAGATACCGCTGCGGCATCAAAAATGGACCGTGTGACACGTTTTTATTTTTTAAAAATAAAAATATAAACAAAGTCAATAATTTCTGCTCGTTCATATTTCCTGCGATCAATGGAAGTAACTCTATTGAAGGTTTCTTGACAACAGGAAATGGACATCAGACACAACTATCAAGTACATAACCATGGGAAACACTATGGGCAATCACAAACAGCACTGGATAATCAAATGTTATTTTATCATTCGCAAAGATGGCGACAATTTTATGGTCATCTGTCTCCTTTTTTTTACGATCAAAATGCCTCACCTTTCCCGAGAAATACGACTGTAAGAGAGATGGCCGAAAATATTCTCCGCTGTTAGATTTACATCGCAGACCTCGATTTAAATTGCTAGCCAAATCTATGCTTTAACAATGAGTACGGTATTGATGCTAGATTTTGACAAAATAAAAAAACAAAACAATTTCTGTTAATTACTTCTAGAGTTATGGCCCTTGTTTCACTATGTGAACGCCCTAACGACTAAAGTTATCATCCGATCTGTATGAAGTTTATATGCAGGGCTGCCGACAACCAGTATCGCAGCGCAATTTGCGATACATATTTTGTCCGTTGCTGCGAATCATTAATATGCCTGTCATTTTGGATATTGACACAAGAATAATCCACATTTTGAAGACTAGAACTACTAGAAGGCTTACTCAACACTTTCAACGTGTATAAAATGTTGAATAAAATTTTATAAACAAAACTGAATTCTCCATGTGACATTTTCTTCTCGAACTACCCAGACACAAAACTTCTAGAGTTATGGCCCTTGTTTCACTATGTGAAACGACTAAAGTTATCATCCGATCTGTATGAAGTTTATATGCAGGGCTGCCGACAACCAGTATCGCAGCGCAATTTGCGATACATATTTTGTCCGTTGCTAACCAAAAATTAAAATCTAACGTTTTTGATTCGCAGTTACTGCGAATCATTAATATGCCTGTCATTTTGGATATTGACACAAGAATAATCCACATTTTGAAGACTAGAAGGCTTACTTAAAACTTTCAACGTGTATAAAATGTTGAATAAAATTTTATAAACAAAACTGAATTCTCCGTGTGACATTTTCTTCTCGAACTACCCAGACACAATACTATATAACATAGGGACATAACTCTATGAATAGGGACTATTAAACTGGAAATAGGGAATCAAGTAGTACCACTCACGTTGCGAGACATCAAGTAATTATATCATATTCATTTTGAAAGAAATAAATCCAGTGTATCCCCCAAGTATTGTATATAAAAAAATAAATATATGTTAACGTGTTGTAAAATGATAAATCAAAGTAAAAATTCCCGTAAAGTATTATTGTTTATATCACATGTGTCTAGTTAATCGAGGTGCGCCCGATTGAACAAAAATAGTAATACACGATAAAAAGCAGACGAAATTGTTTTCTAACGAAGATTTCTAACGTAACAAAAAAATAATAATTAAAATGAGTGGGGCTTCGGAAGTCACTGTCAAGAATTGGCTTCAGACGTAAGACCTAACTAAATGTCTACATCACATTCACAAACTGTCACAAGTACTTGTGGAAGTGCTAAAAAATCTAAGTATAGTCAGAATGGAATCTAATCATATTTGTTATGAATTAAAGTAATTTCTTGTTATTTAGGTGTTTTACGTTGAAACTGAAAAACTGCTAATCAATTTTTAAATTTTCTAATCAAATTTGGCAAAATTGGACTTTTGATTAGCAGTGCTGCTAATCAACTGTGAAAAATTACCGACAGCCCTGTTTAGATGCATTATTTAGATTAGTAAAATGAAGTAGCATATTGAATTTAAGTAATTTCCGTTAATTACTTCCAGAGTTATAACCCTTGTTTCACTTTGTTGAACCCCCTGTGAACGTTCTAATGACAAAAGTTATCATTTAAATGCATTATGAAGATTAGTAAAATGAAGAAGCCGATTGAAATTAAGCAATTTCTGTTAATAGTCTACAGATATGGCCCTTGTTTCACTTTGTTGAACCTTGTTTACATTAGATCTGCATGAAATTGATATTGGTGTCTTGTAAATGCTCCTATTACCTCCAAAAGCATAAATATATGACAGCCCTTGTTGACTGCTCGAACGATTTAGAAGCTGTGGGCTTATGTTTTGTTGCCTGGCAACCTATCTTTCAATTATAGATGAAGATGAAGTTAGAGAAAGTGATATGGCTTCTACCCATCATCCTGATCTAGCTAGTGTAATGAGTTTCAACTCGGAGACGTCTGGACGTCAACCACCACCAGCTATTGAATTTGAACCTCCTCCTCCATCCTCACAACAACTGGGAACAAGGGTATGTAACCATTGCTACATCAGATAGCAACTATGTTTGTGTGTTTATTTTCATTAGTCTACTAATATAGCTTGCTGACTAACAAGAAGTTGACACATCCTGCTTTTTGCTAAGTACTTCTAATAAAAGAGAAATTTGTATGTTGAAATCTCTAGGTGACTGAACGAAATTATAAAAATGTATGGAGTTGGACTCAGTTCCTAGAAGAAGTCTTGTAATCTCCATGCTTGTATTAGACAGTGGAGAAGATAACTTATCCAAAAGATAACTTATCCTAAACTCAGTGTAACGTTGGTAAATGAGTACATAATTCTCATGGGCATGGATTTCAAAGTAACTTTAATTACAGATTTCTTTATTTCCACATTTTGTCTCTGGAATAACTGAACGAGATTGACATCATTGCTACCATATAACAACAAAACAGGATAGTCTATTTCCTTCAATGTACATGTAAATTTGATTTTTATACGCCCACATTGGAAATGTGGTTGTATATTGCCATCGCCCCCTGTCCGTACGTACATACGTCCGTCCGTCGTCCACAATTTCTTGTGAACACTCTACAGACTACATTTATCATCTGATTGTTCTGTAATTGATATTTATTGTTTACACAAGTGATATAAAGAAGCCTACACATGTATATAATTTCAATAATTTTTGTTAATTTCTTCTGAAATTATGGCCCTTGTTTCACTTTGTTGAACCTTGTGAATTTCAGCAATTTCCTTTAATTACTTCTAGAGTTATGGCCCTTGTTTCATTTTGTTGAACCTTGTGAAAGCTCTAATAACAAAGTTATCATCTGATCTGTATGGAATTTATATGCATCATTTAAATTAGTGAAACGAAGAAATCTATTGAATTTCAGCAATTTCCGTTAAGTCTAAAGTTATGGCCCTTGTTTCACTTTATTGCACCTTGTGAACTCTCCAACGACAAAAGTTATTATCCGACCTGTATGAAATTTATATGCATCATTTAGATTAGTAAAACAAAGAATCACATTGAATTTCAGCAATTTCCGTTAATTTCTGCTGAAGTTCTGGCCCTTGTTTCATTTTGTTGCGCCTTGTAAATGCTCTAACGACAATAGTTATCATCCAATCTGTATGAAATTTACACAGATCATTTAAATTAGCGACACAAAGACTCCTCAGCAATTTCCAATAATTACGACTAGAGTTATAGCCCTTGTTTAACTTTGCTGAACCTTGTGAACATTTGAAGGACGAAAGTTATCATCTGATCTGTACGAAATTTATATGCATCATTTATATGCAAATAATTACTTGTAAAGTTAGTTGAACCTTGTGAATGCTCAAATGATGAAAGTTATCATCCGATCTGTATGAAATTTATATGCGTTATTTAAATTAGTGAAATCAAGAATCCTATTGAATGTCAGCAATTTCTGTCGATTGCTTCAAAATTTATGGCCCTTATTTTACTTTGTTGAATTTGTGAACGTTCAAATGGCAAAAGTTATAATCCAATCTGTATGAAATTTATATGCATTATTTGAATTAGTAAAATGAAAAAGCTGGTCAAATTTCAACAGTTTCTGTACATTACTTTCAGAGTTAAGGCCCTTATTTCAGTTTGTAAAACCTTGTGAACCCTCAAACGACGAAAATTATAATCTGATCTGTATGAAATTGTCTTGTAAATAAATGCCCCCAATTATCTACAAAAGAATAAATGTGTCACAACCCTTGTCAACCGCTCGGACAATTTAGCTGCTGTGGGCGTATGTTTCGTTGCCTGGCAACCTATCTTTAAATGAACTAATGTTTTTGTATGTTCGTTTATGTACAGGTTGAAATGGTATATTCATTGTTATCAATGTTGGGTACCCATGATAAAGATGATATGAGTAGAACATTGCTAGCTATGTCTTCATCACAAGATAGTTGTATAGCTATGAGACAGTCAGGTAGGTTTAAATATTTCAGTTCTGTACCTTCTTCGTTCTACACATAACTCTTAACTGACCCACTGCGACTTTTGTCAACACCTATAACGTTACCGGTAAGTACCCAGGGCACTTTTGTTGACAAAACCAGTTAGTCAAATGCAACCTTCCTAGCGTACTGAGAGTTACTTCCCTTATAAACAGACAGCTTTTTCTCATTTGTGTACTTCCTGTTTGACATTTTGACAGTTAAAAATCTTACTGTTGCTTCTTAAAAAATTATAATAAAACGGTGTTATGTCTAGGCCTATACGACAACGTTCTTCTAATGACGGATTACCATCCTTATTGAATGACAGTGATTCAGATTTTATCGGTGGTGTAGATATTTATCAATTTGCATTAGAATGTGATAGAAGTAGGCTAAATCAACAAATTTTAATTATTTAAATAAGCATAAATTAAAAGAGTCATGATGAATGATTTTTAGTTAACAACAGCCAAACAAAAAAATAGAAATAACCATTATATACATGAATTTTTCATGAAATGTCTAAATTAGTTTTTTGCATAAAATTCATATTTATGAAAATGGCATTAAATTTATATTATTTCATCCATTTACATGAAGGGTCTAATAACAGTTGTTTTTTTAATGATATGACTTTAAAATGCATACATATAATTTAACACTATTGACCATTATGACGTGGGTATGTACTGAATTGGCAAGTGGGTGGCACAGAATCAAATCCTCTCCCCAAAACAGATGTGATGTATACGGAATCATGACTTAATCAGCAGTTTCAGCTATGATTTTTATACGCCCACATTTTCATTTAGCTGTATTTTATCGTCGCCCTTGTCCGTCTGTCCACAATTTGTTTGTGGACAGTCATAATTTTTATCTGATTGAAAAAACGTATTATTATATCACCGTTACACCCTAAGGATGGCCGAGTTCAAATTTCGTGAAAATCAGTCCAAAACTGACAGACAAAATGGCCGCCCTTTGTTCTCAAATAGTGTAAAAATATTGTATATCAAGGTTGTGGATCCTATAGAGGTCACAATTTTAATCCTATTTTGATGAAACTTGAAATGTAAGTTTATAACCCAAAGATCTCGGTTCCTTTTGATATTCGCGCATATTGGACCGTAACTTCCTGAATTATGACCCCTGATTGTACGAAAAATCGCGTTTTTTGGCTTGTGGACCCTATAGAGGTCATAATTTTTATCCGATTTAAAAAAACATTTTAGTATATCACCATTACACCCTAAGGACGGCTGACTTCGAATTTCATGAAAATCGGCCCAAAACTGACAGACAAAATGGCTGCTCTTCATTCTCAAATAGCGTAAAAATATGGTATATCAAGGTTGTGGACCCTATAGAGGTCACAATTTTTATCCGATTTTGTTGAAACTTGAAATGTAAGTTTATAACACAAAGATGTCGGTTCCTTTCGATATTTGCGCATATTGAATTGTAATTTCCTGAATTATGGCCCTTGATTGTTAGAAAAATCGCGTTTTTAGCTTGTGGACCCTATAGAGGTCATAATTTTTATCCGATTTAAAAAAACGGTTTAGTGTATCACCGTTACACCCTAAGGACGGCTGAGTTCGAATTTCGTGAAAATCAGCCCAAAACTGACAGGCAAAATGGCCGCCCCTCGTTCTCAAATAGCGTAAAATTATGGTTTATCAAGGTTGTGGACCCTGTAGAGGTCACAATTTTTATCCGATTTTGTTGAAACTTGAAATGTAAGTTTATAACCCAAAGATCTCGGTTCCTTTCGATATTTGCGAATATCAAATTGTAATTTCCTGAATTATGGCCCTTGATTGTAGGAAAAATCAATTTCTTTTTGGCTTGTTCTCTATCCATCTCTCGAAAATGGGGGCGTATCCTGCCTGGCAGCCGCTGGTTAGCTTGTGGATTCTCTAGAGGTCACAATTTTTTTTCCGATTTTAAAAACCATTTAGATATATCACCATTCCACCATAATGAAGGTTGAATTGGAATTTCGAGAAAATCGAAACTGACCGATAAAATGGCCGTTCTTTGTACACAAATTGTGTATAAGTATGTAATACAAAGGTTATGGACCCTCTAGAGGTCACAATTTTTATCCGATTTTGATAAAACTTAAAACATATCTTTATATTCCAAAAATCTTAGTCCCTTTTGATATTTGCGCATTTCAGACCACAACTTTCTGGATTATGGCCCCTGATTGTTCAAAAAATCATTTTTGTTGTTAGCTTGTTCTCTATCTATCTCTTGTAAAATGTGGGCGTATCCTGCCTGGCAGCCGCTGGTATATTCAGTTGGGTCCTGCCTGTATTTCTCGTGTTGACTTGATGACAACTTTCAAGTGATTGAGAGTATTGAATTCCAGAATGTTCAATCAAGTATCCCCTACGATATATTTGTATAGCATGTCATACTTATAATTATGGAACATTGCAAAGGTGAGGGAGGTGTTTCTCATTGTAGGTTATCATATATCTACCATCATTTGTTAACAATTGACTTAACCTTTATATTGTCTGTTTTTAGTCGAATACCTATACCATCATCAGTATGGGGACTGTTGTGTCTCTGCTTTTATCAGATCAGTTGATTTTACAGTATAACATTTAAATTAATTATTCTGCATCAAAACTAATAAAGGAATTACTATCTTATAGGATGTTTGCCATTATTGATTCAACTATTACATGGTAGTGATAAAGATTCTGGTTTGTTGGGTAATACAAGAGGTTCTAAACCAGCTAGAGCTCGCGCTTCAGCTGCCCTACATAATATAGTTCATTCTCATCCTGATGACAAGAGAGGTAGAAGAGAGGCGAGAGTTTTACGTTTATTAGAACAGATACGAGCCCACTGTGACCAACTACGTAATGATTCTGGTGAAGAAGATGATGCTTTAAATGAAGGTAGAATCTCATTTTAATCTTGAAGAGTAATACCAAATAAGTGTTATCAAAGGGGTAAATGAAATGACATGGGGTTTTCACGTCCTACTTTTCTGCTCCATTCTGGCTAATGAAGACAGTATCAAACGGATAAAATCTCAGAATCTTTGTTGATCATATTCAGGGCTGACGGTGTCGGTCGCAATTTGCGATAAAATTATGAAAATGGCGATCAAAATTATGAAAATGGCGATCAAAATTTGATTATGGCGATAATTTTGGCAAAAAAGGTTTAGGGTACTGGCGATTCTTTTTTGAGAACTGGATTGACCATTATATTGGGTGTCAATAGATCACGTGGCGCTGGCGGCATACTATAAATTAATCACCTCGCTAATAATCCGGATCGTGCCAATGAGTAATACTAACCAATTGTCATCGATTAATGATTACTTGATTGATTATTGCCAATGGTATATATAAAGCCTGTTTCAAGTCATTATTTACTCCTAATAATTAATCCAAGTGGTGTTTATTTAATGTTTCGTTTGGTCTTAAAAAAATAAATGGGAATAATCAAAATGGCCGACAATCCTTTTCGAAGAGAATTAAATATTTTGATAGTTGAATTCTGTTTACTGTGGCTTCATACAGCATGCAAAATATACAAGCATGCCCTAATCGGATATTATTATTTCGAATTGTATTATAACCATTGGTCGGATACGTAAGAACGACTCGAATAGCGACAATTCTCGAATGAGAAAACAGTCCGTTGTATGTTTTATTACTGCCGCCAAACTGCTCCAAGTGAACGAACGACAAGCCTGATTGTAAGCATTTCTTACAAATGAAATTGAAATTTCTATCATTCTGTCAGTATTCAGATACAGTTACGGTACCTGAAAATAACAATAGGCCTAGTGTACACGCAAAACATAAATTTCTAGAAAATTGACAATCCTTGGATGAGATTTGACGTGTAAATACTGAAAATATATTGTGCAATAACGCCAATAATGGTGTGTGAAAAGACTAAAGTCACCACAAATAGAGTCTTATCTTAGTAAATCATCTTAAAACTGGGCTAATGTTTTATGTAACAACGGATTTTGTAAGGTGTTGTATATTGTATACCGGTAATGAAATAAAATTGTTACATGTTATCACACATTTTTGGCAGATAAAATATTTTAGTTGGCGGAAAAAAAAATATTAACATTTTTTTATATAAAAATTATTATTCATTTTGGCGGAAAAAAATTGAGTGTGAGCCCCGATCATATTATACTAAACTTTTATCTGAAAGTATGATATCCCTAACCTGGACAAATTCAATTACTGGTATAGACTCAAAATGCTCAATAAACCCACAAATAAGTTAATCACTGTGGCTATCTTAAGACATGCAAATTTACATGTAAATGATAGCCCTCATCGATTTTTTGCTTGTAGTTTCAATATATTTTCAAATTGATGGTTATTCATTGAGGATTGTGTCGTATGCTTTAAGAAATATTTTACTTACACTATCACTTTCTATTAGAATTTTAAATTCATTATAAACATATGTTATATTTGCCATTTACAGGTGCAAATGCAGCAGAAATTGATCATCAGCCTGGTCCTGCAATAGCAGCATTGATGAAACTGTCTTTTGATGAGGAACACAGACATGCTATTTGTACACTTGGTAAGATTTAATATACCAAAAGACATTCGTATTGGTGATGCCACAATTTTCTGCTCTGATTCCGCTCGAAGCATCAGAACTATATTTGACAGCCACATGTGTATGGAAGCCCAAATTAAACATATATGTAAGATAGGACATTATGATTTCCACAACATAAGTCAAGTTAGAAACTATCTACCTGAAGATGCAATCAAGACCTTGGTTCAAGCCCTTGTCACTGCTAGACTGTGTTCCACAGAAACTTCTTAACCAACTTCTTTCTCTACAAAACTCTGCTGCTAAACTTATTACAGTGCACCTGGAATACTAGTAAAACTCCACTGGTTACCTGTGCCCTATCGAATTGACTATAAAATTTTACTTTTAAATGCATAAACAACGTAGCAGCAAAATATCTATCTGAACTCGTCCAATTTTTATAGGCCCACATTGAAATGTGGTCATATATTGTTGTTGCCCCCGTCCGTCCATCCCGCGGACGCTCTAGAGGTTAAAGTTAATATCCGATTGACTTTAAATTTATACACAATGTTTAATGTCATGAGATGAAGAAGCCTATTGATTTTTAGAGGCTAAAGTTATCATCCGATTGACTTCAGATTGATACACAGAGTATATTGAACTTTATAAAAACCAAACAAATTGTTATGATTTTCTGACAATTACTTAATGAGTTGTATTCTTTATCAGATTTTAGTGTAATGTATTATAAATGTTTCATTACCGAAAAAAGTAAAAGTATGCGACAACTCTTGTTGACTGCCCGGACGATTCAGCTGCTCTGGGCATATGTTTCGTTGCCTGTCAACCTATCTTATAAACCTATAAGACAGCTCCAATCCAGTTCAGATAATTTCATACTAATTGAATGTAGTGCTAAACAAGTTTCTTACGAAGAAAAGGCCTTTTCATTTAAAACACCTACACTGGAACAAGCTGCCCCATCAATTACGATGTTGTAATTCTTTAAAATTTTCTTTTATAACTCTTCTTAACATTCCTTTTTAATGCTTATTGATCTGATTTTTTACTGTTCAGACCTCTTTTAAGTGTTGTACAATTTTGAATTTTATTATTGATTTATTTTTTTATTGTTAAGCACATCCGGGCACTTATGTGAAAGATGTGCTATAAAAATTACCATAATAATAATAATTTAGTAATAATAATAATCTTACATAAAGATCATAAAGCATAAAAATTTAATGGGGGAGTAGAGCAGGAATTTATGCAATATGAAGAAAATAAAGATCAAGACAACCCTCATCGAAAGTCACTAGAAATGAACTTCCAAGTAACATGTATTCCATATGATTTAGTCATGTGTTATTCTCAGTCAGTTATTAAATGACGCTTAACCGATTTATCCAAATAGTAATTAGTGTTTTCTTTTTCTTTGCAGGTGGTCTGCAAGCTATAGCTGAATTATTACAAGTTGATAATGATGTTTATGGTAATACTACAGAACAAGTTAATATAACTATGAGGAGATATGCCTGTATGTCTCTTACCAATCTTACATTTGGAGATGGAACAAACAAGGCATTATTATGTTCTATGAGAGGTGCCATGGCTGCTCTAGTTGATCAACTAAACTCATCGAATGAAGATCTTTGTCAAGTTGCTGCTAGTGTTTTACGCAATCTCTCATGGCGTGCAGATTTAGCCAGTAAAAAAATATTACGTGAAGTGAATGCAGTAAAAACATTAACGGTAGCCTCTATGAAGGTGAAAAAGGAACCAACTTTCAAAAGTATTTTAAGTGCTCTGTGGAATTTATCTGCCCATTGTACAGAAAACAAGGCTGATATATGTGCCGTAGACAATGCATTAGAGTTTCTTGTTAGTATTTTAACATACAAAAGTCCTTCAAAAACATTAGCCATTATTGAAAATGGTGGTGGGATTCTGCGTAATGTTTCCAGTCATATAGCTGTTCGTGAAGATTATCGTAAAGTTCTTAGACAACATGGATGCCTTCAAATCTTGTTAAAACATTTAAGATCTCCCAGTTTGACTATTGTTAGTAACGCTTGTGGTACGCTGTGGAATCTTTCGGCTAGATGTCCTGAAGATCAACAAGCTTTATGGGAAATGGGAGCAGTTAGCATGTTACGAAATCTTGTTCATTCTAAGCACAAAATGATTTCAATGGGAAGTGCTGCTGCATTGAAAAATTTACTGTCAGCAAGACCTAATTTGAAAAACATTGATTTTGATAGACATTCTCAATCTGGTCGACCGTCATTACATGTTAGAAAACAACGTGCATTAGAAGCTGAACTAGATCCTAATCTTGCTGAAACCTGTGACAATGTAGACAGTCCACGAGAAAGTCCAAACATACAAAATAAAGAAAATGACAATCGTAGATTTGTGCTTAGTAATACAAGTAAACCAGGAGACAGTGATTCACCTAGAAGACCTTTGATTCGTGGTGTATTGTGTAGGCGTGGCAGCAGCGAAGGTGTTAATGTCCTAGATAACAGATTAAGATCACCACAAAGGGTTGCTCGCTCTGGAAGTCAAGACAGTGTCGGCAGCACTCATTCCGACATATCACACGATAGATCCCGTGTTCATAACATGCTTGCAAAAAGTTCCCGACTACTGTATGAACGGCAAGGTGGAAGTCTGGAGAGGAAGAGAGAAAATGGTCTTCATAGAGTTAGCTCAGATGGAAATTGTGACAATGCACATCATCCTAAAAACAGAATTGTGCAAGCGATGCAGGAGGTTGCCATGCATGTTGGTCTCAATCCTGCTGCCAATGAAATCAAAGACCCACCAAGAAACATGCGTGCCTTACTGCTTCAGAACACACAGGCAAAAGCTGGGCCAAATTCACCGAGGAATATCATATGTTCAAATAGTCACAAATCAAACTCCAGTAATGATGTCTCAGAAGAACCAATAAATTATAGTTTAAAATATCCAGGACAATCCAACAAAGAGAGCCATACCTTCCCTTTAAATAACCGTCATCCAGCTAAAGTTAACAATTTCATGCCTCCTAATGGACCTGGTGTTAGACCATCTGTTTATATGGTACACAATAGATTTCCGGATCCATCTTCTAGTCGTCAAGTACCATCATTATTTAATCAACAAACTAGGCATCCAGCACCACAGCCAACAAATTTTGGCAGTTACGCTGAAACAGATCTAGACAGTGTTGATCAACCCACTAACTTTAGTCTACGTTACGCTGAACAAACTGATGATGAATATCAAGAACAACCAATTAACTACAGTGTAAGATACCAAGAATCGGATCCACATTGTGCTGATTGTAAACTGGAAGAGGCTCGGTATTTGAATGATCAAATGGAACAGGATATGACAACCATCCATGGAGATCAAATGACAACATTTTGTACGGAGGGTACTCCATATTTGTCAACAGCGACCTCTTTAACGGATTTAGTTGGTGCAGTTAAGGCTGAAAATGGAGACAATGCTACAGATTACAGAGAAGCCCCTGAGGATGAAATGCAAGACTATGGCAACAAATATAGTGAAGAAAAAGAATTACATGAAGCAAACAACTTCCATGATGATCAACCTAGAAACTTTGCTATTCAAGAACCAGAAGACCATGATTTTGCTCCAAGAGATAATAATGGTGCCATGGATCAGACTAAAACTTATAATGAGGAAGGAACACCTGTTTGCTTTTCTCGAGTCAGCTCTCTCAGTAGTTTACACAGTAGTGAGGCTAGAGATCATCCTGACAATAGAGCCAATGTTCTGCAAAGTATTGAGGAAAATGAGAAATCAGATGCTATGACAGGATCAGTCATAGAGAAATCAAGTATTAAATCTCCAGATAATAGAGAAATGAGTTCTGAAGGTCGATCTGGTGTACTCAAGGCTAATGGTAGTTTTAATTCAGAAAAAGAACACAAAACAGTCACTTTTGATGACAATCATCATGTGGAAGAAACACCTCTAATGTTTTCAAGATGTAGTTCATTGGGTTCTTTGAGTAGTTTTGATGCCCAGTCAGTTCACAGTTCTGTTGTCAGTGAATACAGTCGACGTGCAAGTGAGGTAGTATCTCCAAGTGAACTGCCAGATTCTCCAAGTGAAACCATGCCACCAAGTCCCAAACGTATTAGATCTCCAGGACCAAAATTGAACTTGGATGAAGATGACTCGGAAGACGATACTACAAAAGAATTCACAGATGTAGCAGTATCCCAAGCTCAGCTTATTAAACCTCTAAAAAACTTAATCTCTCATCTCAAATCTGATTCTTCTACTTCTACCAAAGTTGAATCACCTACAGTGTATGCTGAAGAAGGTCCTCCTCCAGCCTTTTCAGACACCAATAGTATATTAAGCGCCTTGACAATAGATGAGGGTGAAAATGCAAATATCATAACTAGACAAGAAATCCGATCATTTGCTGAAGAAATAAGTAATATGGAGGATACTGAAAGAGATGATGATGAAGAGGATATGGAGCACAACAATGCACCTGCTGATGACAAAGATTCTTCTATGTCGGAAGTGTCAGAAGGTGAAGAAGACATTTTAGCGCAGTGTATAAATCTGGCAATGCCACTACCAAATAATTCTAGTAGAAAGATGAGGAAAAGTTCTTCAGATAATGCCCTGAAGAAGAAAAATGGACTTTCCAAAATTGATAATTTAGGCACAAACAAGACCAAGCTACCTACTAAAAGTGTAAATTTTACAAACAACTCTCTGAAAACTGACAAAACAAACAGTAAGAATAAACTTCAAGAAGAACATAACAAATCTGCTCAGAATCCAATATCAGAATCTGTTTTGCGCAATACCTATCTAGCCAATTATGATATTGGTAACGATACTGCCAAATCATATGCTACTGAGGGAACACCATTAAATTTCTCTTCTGCTAACTCATTAACAGACCTGAGTAATATTGGAATTGCATCTGATGGTGATGCCAAACCTGAAGCTCCTCCAAACCCTCATGATGAATCGAAATCTGACAACAGTTCTTTGTGTGAAGAAAGTGAAGATATTTTGCTAACAGAAGTTATACAAGCTGCAATGCCAAAAAGTAAAGTAGCAAGACGTCTCAATCTTGAAGCTCAACAAAATAAAAGTCTTGCTGCAAAGAGTGTAAATGCTAACAAAAGCAAGACAAATGCATTTCAACCACTTCGCACATCCAGCCACATTAATTCTTCATATCATACTGATGGTGGTGACATTATGAAAACTTATGCTGAAGAAGGCACCCCCATAAATTTTTCTACAGCTACTTCATTAAGTGATCTGACAATGGAATCTTCAGATGATTGGAGAAACTCGGCTGGTCATTCAGGTGTTCATTCTACTGCTGTTGTATCAGGAGCTGCCAATGACTCTGTTTTCTTGGCAACAGATCCTGCTGATTCTCCAAGGGTATATCATGTAGAAGACACACCAGAAACATTTTCCTGCAATGATTCACTTAGTTCTCTTAGCGTAACAGATGATGACATGCTGTCTGGTGATAAATTCATGCTGGGGGCAAAAAAAAGTTTCAGCCCAAAACAAAACAATCAACTTCCGCTTAGAAATAACAAGACAGAAAAAGAATCAAATATTGATCAGGCTAAGAAGTTTGAAGTAGAAAATACACCAACATGTTTTTCTATTAGCTCTTCTCTAAGTTCCCTCACTTCTATAGATCACACTGTAAATGTTCAAGTTATTAAAGAGGGACAGGTACCTTTTGAACTAGAAGACACACCAGCTATTTTCTCCAGAAATAGTTCTCTTAGTTCATTGAGTATAGAATCATCTAACAATTATGACCCAACTCCATCTGAGCAAGCTCTGTTGGATGAATGCATAAGTTCTGCCATGCCCAAAAGCAGAGGTAAAGAACAACCAAAGAGACATATTCTAACACCTAACAAATCCAAAATTGCAACAAGAGGAGGAGTTGACCTGCCAAAAAGTCAACAAGAAAGACCATCCACAAGGACCCTGTCATACAGTTGCTCAGATACCTCAGCCATTGAACGTGCCACACCCAAACATAATGCATATCAAGGCTGGCGTCGTGAACCTGCTAAGTCATGTGATGAGGCATCACCTCCTAGCCCTTCCAGCAACAGATTTGGATGGAAAAGATCTCAATCTCAGGATGGAAATAGTTTTAGCGGAAGTGTAGCTTCATCTCATAGCCCAAACAGTGATCAGTCAAGGAATAATATCCGGCGGCCATTTCTTGGGACTCCGGAAACGGTTAAGAAGAATCCGCTCTATGTTAAAGACAATAAATTGCTTGAGGAGGCGGAACAAAATCGGCAGATCAACAACAGAGGATCAGCTTCTATGACAGACTCTACAAGTAGCAATGAGAAAGTAGACAGCGAAAAATCAGTTAGTGAAGAGACAGTTTTTCTTGATGTAACAAAGAGTGCGAGTCAGAATGAAACTACCAGCTATGATGACATAATGAAAACATCTTTCCCTAAAGACATGGCTCCTGATACTGATGATGATATCCTTGATGCTGATGAATTGGAAGACGATTATTCAGCCCATGACAGTGAATCAGATAAAACTATAGCTGCAATGAATAAGACTTTAGAATACAATGCAAATTACAATGATGATAGTTGTCTTGTTTCTGGGGAATGTTCATTTGAAGAAGAAATAACTCCAGAGGATGAGCGCTTGTTAGAAGCCAATGCCAGCCTTGTTGTGTCTGAATTAGCCACTAACCACAATATGACAGGAAGCACACAAGATGAAGATCTTTTCATTGAAAATGAAACATTGTCTCTAGTTTCCAATGATTACACCTCTGATACAGCTTCTGAAATCTCTAATTCATGGTCTCTTAACTCAGAAAAGATCAGCGAACAGTCTAATTCTAATAATTCAAAGGAAGAAAACAAATCACAAAGAGGACCAAGGGTTTTGAAACCAGGAGACAAAAAGCCAATTGAAGTACCTAAGGAAAATGAAAAGGGTATCAGAGGAAAGAGAAAGCCACTGTATAGTAGATCAGCTTCCACTCCAACAGCTCTGTCTCCCAGAAATAAACAAGTCATAGCTAAAGTATCGCCTAATAAAACCCCAGCTGTAGTGAAAAACAATAACCAAACAGCTCTCAAACGTCCATCTCCTCGTCAACCAACACAGACAGCGGCTAATACTGCTCGACCTCCTTCAAAACCAACATACACCCGTTCTTCATCCTTGCCAAGAACCCCACCATCCAATATAACCTCTAAATCCCCGGGTCGTTCCACAAATGCTAACCAGTCAAAGTCGGCCATTTCTAAAGAATTAAATTTAAAACCGAAGATCAATACAGCTGAAAGGCCAAGACCCATTGTCAAACAAGCAACATTTACCAAAGACACTGTTGCCCATAAAAATACACCCACTATAACATCAGAAGGCGATGTAAATCAAAACAAGGATCAGACAGACAAAGTTAAACTTCGGGATAAGCGAAGAAGCTCAGAAAATACTTCTTTTAAACGTAATTCTTATGGATCAACAGGTTCTAGAAACTCGTCTGAAATAAATTCTTCCTGGGCTCAGTCTCTTGATGGCTTCAACATGATGGTTGATACCTCTAAAGAAAATGGTTATGAGGCCCCATACAAACAAATACATATGCAGAGAAGTTCTAAAGATGCACCAGCATCAATGAAGAGAACACTTAGCAACACTAATACATCTCCAGCTAACAAAAAGGTATCAAATATTGCAAGACCTATAAATTCTGCAGCATCAAACAAGAGTCCATTGGGTTCTAAGACTGCTTTAAACAAATCAGGAAGTGGTACCAATCTTCGCAAAACCACAAGCGGCACTAGTTTGACAAAAACTAATAGCGGCTCATCATTGAATAAATGTGGATCAAACACAAATCTGAAGAAAATGGCTAATGGTAGCAAGAGCGAACTAAAGAAATCTGACAGCAACGCCAGCATTAAAACTAACTCTCGACCAGGTACACCAAATGGTAGGAGGCTGTCTAATGGATCTACTTCAACATCCAGAAAATCAGATAGTTCAACGCCTACTAAAACAGTTACAACCCCAACCAGTGACACTAAGAAACCACCAACAGGTTCAGTGGGGAAGAAGCAAGTGCCAAGTAAGATTGCAAGTTTATGGAAGAAAGAAGAAAATGGTCAAGAAAATTCTCCCACTAAAGAGTCTTCTTCAAGATTGCCCACAGCTAATAACAAGTCAGCTACAAAACCGGTAACGCCCAAAAGAACAAGCAGTTTGCAAAATGGCAATGGTGTTAAAACTAAGACACCACCTCAGAAATCTTCCAGTCAGAATCTTGTAATCCCTGACAAACCTTCACCTGATGGCATTTGTAAAAGTTCAACTTATGATAAAATCACCATTGTTTCTGATGAAGCTGGAACTGAAGATTTGGATGGTCAAATTAATGCCAGCAGCCTTGAAGAAGTATCTGATCCAGCTAATACTACAGTTAATAGTGTATTCAATTTAACTGACAATTCAAGTGAACACAATTCTATGGATTCCCTAAATGCCTGTCATTTAGTTAACAGTGGCACATGGAAGAAAAAGAAGGGAAGCTCCAATCATAGTTTACAATTACCTAATGCTGATGAAACCTGTAGATCTTCTGGTTCAGTTAGTAGTGTTTCTGACTCTGTGAAAGATGATACTAGTTTGAGTGGTCCACTGGGCACTGATATCACTGGAAATAGTGAAATTTGGGTAAAACATGGTGAAAAATCAAAGTCGGGCAAAAATAAGGACAAAGCCAAAAAAGAATCAAAATCGATGGCCCAAAGTATTAAATCAACTCTATTTGGCAAAAAGCCTGGCTTAAGTAAAATATTTGGCTCCCAGAAAAGTAAGAACCCTCTCAAAAAAGAATCTGAAAAGACATTATCTGCTAAACCTTTACACCAGGAATCTCGTACTAGTCCGTCTGCAATAGTTCCACCTTTTAATTATAGCCCCCCTGTTAATACACCACCTACGCCTAAAATATCTGACATTCAGAATAATGACACAAACAATGACAATAATCAAAATAAAAAATCATCCTTGCCAACCCCAGCTAAACACGCTACCAAAACTGAAATGTTATTGGCACGAAGGCGGTCATATCTGAGCAGTAAAAACGATGTTAATTCCGAGGATGACTCGAAAATGCCATGTATGGTGACCACAGTTTAAATTGTGCAGTGTAAAAATTAATAAAAGAAAAATCAAACAAACTTTAGAACTGTATGTAAAAAATATTTTATGGTGTAGTTTCGCCTATCTATTTTTTAATTGTCAGTTTCAATTCGGAAATGGTCAATTGATTGGTTCACTAAATTGTATTAGTAAAAGAAAAAATACATGGACTACATATTGCTTTCGTCATTCTGATATAGGAGATATCATTTTATTTTGATCAGTATTGATTTCTGCTCTTTGTGTTAATTCATACTTCTTTTTTTCACCATGTCTCACTTTCATATGTGTCTTCATATTGGTTTTTATAAGCAAGGTATTGGACGCAATGGCTATTCTTGTAGACATCCCCATCCAACCATAAATAATATTGTGCCATTTTCTATGTCAAAATTCGTCAGCAAGAATTCTATCTTTCTTGAAATGAACGAAATTTTTAAAAAGAAAACTACCTCTACCCTACAAACCTTGGGTTAATACTTCTGGTGTGATATAACCCATGTGGTATCCCCACATATTTATCTTATAGAAGGAAGTTGAAATGAATCCAAGGTCTTACATTTCGATGTTTCGAAAGCAATTATTGACACTTTATTTCAATGTCGGGTCATTTAGTTTGTACTTGTATAAACCAGTGGGTTCAAACTGATTTCTTGTTATTTGATATGCAGGTGGAAAAGGGTTCAAGATTTAAAGTGCACCTGACAATTGCGATCCTAAATATATTATAACCATCCATTGGAAAACATACCCAAACTGTCATTAAAAAATCAATGTCACCAAAAACATCTTTCAAGATAATTGAAGCGAAACATTTTTTGAAAACTTTATCATTGCCTCCTTTGTGTATTATACGCGCAAGGAGAAAATGGACCGGAGATGGCGTTAACAGGGCATTTGTTTACTATATTGTTAGCTTATTTGGAAAATTGAGTCTACAAATTGATGTTTCCTGGTCAATAGAAATATACCTCTAAATAATTATAAGTTTAAGATAGTCGAACAAGTGACCAAATTATTTTCAAATTTCCTTACTGAATAAAGTGTAAAAGCCAGTAATTGGCATCTACGAATATTCATTCAGATTCAGAAATGAGCAAATAACGTGTCAATAAAGTTAAGGGGTAGTTATTGGTAATTTATCTGAATGGTGTTTGGGGATTTCTATTCTTTTTTTTCTACCATTATTATTACTGTTTTTGACAATAGTTTGATAGTGTTTACCTTTATAGACATGTGTATATATGCCTTTCTATCTCTTTCTGTATTTTTTTTTTTGTAATACTTTTAAATCTTCAAATGTTCACGGCCATTATAGAGATACATGTAGAAGAATACTATATAATATGTATATTATCAGTTTTAAAACGTGCAATATTATGTGAATATGTATTTAAACATGTCCATTTTGTAACATTCATCTATCATTATCACTTTCCTGTAAATAGTAAGACATATTATGGTGCATTAACATAGGATAAATTAGTGCAGATGAACCTATGCTTTTGTTTGAATTATGTACATTGTTTCAACGTAGTAAGTCTGGATTATGTACACTGTTTCAAATACTAAGTCTGTGCATGAGATGAGATAATTGCTGACATTTTTCACTCATTATTTAAGTAATGACATCTTATGTATTGCATTTTCTACAAATCATTGGTTTATGTAAAGGTTGTTTGCTTAGTATAAGTCGTGCTGGTGTTTGCTTATTTCTGCGTGTTGACCTGTAACGAAGCTTAGCTTTAATTTTACAACATTATTTTAGATGAATTTAATTGTTGGAAACATATAAATTTTCTACTAATTAATTATGCTATGCTGAATGTTCATTTATGGTTGTTTACATTTGACAAGTCACTTTCCATTGACTTAATGTGATGTGTAAAAAAGCTCTTCTTGTCTGTAGTCAACAAGACTACAAAACATAAACAAGCAAGGAGATTAAATTATTTATTAAGGTATAATCTGGTTTGTTTCTGGTTTATTTTGTGGGGTCGGGGATTTCTGTGCTTTGTTCGCTGTTTGGTTCATCAAAGTTTGGTTCAGCTTGGAATGGAAGGATCCCTTTGTGCTTTGCTGGGGAAATGAAATGAGGTTTAACGCCCTACTGTTCTGCAGCGTCTGTGATAATAAGACGGGGACTGAAATGATGTTAAATACCCATCAACTGAAATTCCAACCCTTTATGAACATATTCCAGAAGTAATGGTGACGAACTCATAATTCTTGTAACCATCGCTTCAGGAATATGCTTGTGTTGATCTTATCTATAGTTACAGCAATGGTACTAAAGTAGAGGGTAAATGAGAAATACTGAGTAAACCTGAGTGTCATGATTCGAACCGTCGTAAATTTTAAACGACTTACTTCGATTATGAACAAACTACTTAATTATGGTTATTAACAACATGCCTATGTGTTTGAAATTACCTCCGGTTAAATAAAATCCATTGTACGAATAAATATCCCAACAAATAAAAAAGTTCTCTTGAAAAATTGAACTCCTCACAAGCTGATTACATCACTTATCGTGGCAGCAAGGCGTGTCTATCGTAACGCATACTCCTCACAGTGTTTCGTTTGATTAGACCTAATCCCACCCAAACACTGCCGGACTCACTGCAAATTTGTCCCAAATAAAGACTGGTCATCAGTTTTACTTCTCGGTCCTAAATCCATATGTGATCTTTACTGTATAACCCATGTGCATGTTGGCGACCTCAAAATGGAAACCTACATCAACAGTGTGCTATCTCATTCTACGAAACATCAGATGCATTAGGAAGTATCTTAATGCTAATTCTACTGATGCTGCTGTCCTTGCCGATTCTTTCCAGAAAAGATTACTGCAATAGGTTATTGGCCGGTGCTCCACCTTCTCCACCAACTATAAAAGATCCAGAACACAGCAGCCAGGATAATATCTCTTGCTCGACATTACAGCCACATAACCCCAATTCTCAAATAACTCAGTTTTTATACGCCCACATTTTCATGTGGACGTATATTGTCGTCGCCCCTGTCCGTCCGTCCACAATTTGTTTGTGGACACTCTAGAGGTCACAATGTTGATCCGATTTTGATGAAAGTTGGAATGCATGTTTATACCCCAAAGATCTTTGTTCCTTTCGCATATCGGATCGTAACTTCCGGAATTATGACCCCTGATTGTACGAAAAATCGCGCTTTTAGCTTGTGGTCCCTCTTGAGGTCACAATTTTTATCCGATTTAAAAAAACGTTTTAGTATATCACCACCATTACACCCTAATGATGGTTGAGTTCGAATTTCGTGAAAATAGGACCAAAACTGTCGGAAAAAATGACCGCCCCTTGTACGCAAATAGTGTAAATATCTGGTATATCAAGGTTGTGGACCTCCTAGAGGTCACAATTTTGAATTAATTTTGAACTGATTTTGCTGAAACTTGAAATGCATACTTATAACGCAAAGATCTTGCGCCATTATAGTTAATTGTATATGTTACAAGTCCCTGTAGGTTACAGGTCCCTTCGTTCAATATCAGTTCTCGCGATACGAGACATCCGGGTTATGTGTATTGTAATGGTGGTATGTCAGTTAAAGTTATCAACAGTTGTCGCTGTCTGTGTTTGTTCCTGTAGTGCTCCCCACTAAACTGTCGTGGTGGCTGATTGTGGATTTATTCCTTACGTCTCCGTGAACTGCAGGACTCGGCAAACAAGAAATATCAACAGGCAGGTTGCAGTGCACTGTAAATAGATTTCTGTTGGCTCGCGTAGAAGCGCGTCATCTTCTTTATAATTTTCAAGACGAACCCCCATCAATACAATGGCTTCAACTCGCGCCCCAAAGCAGCGTGTTTTGACCAAAGATGAAACTATCACATCGTTCGAAGCCTTACATACATTTTATCCCTGGATGACAACTTCGCCCCGTTTTCCGCTCCCGATGTTGTATGGTCTAAGAAAAGCAGGTATGACCCAAATTGAGGCTTTACTGTCGAACGTGGGAAGACTACAGCACAAAAAGTGTTGGGTTTTTTTGAGCTCATATTGGGTCAAATCGCAAATTTCTGCCCAGTGATAACCCGCAACACCATTATTCACAAGTCTGTGAGTATAAACTCTGTTTGGCAGTCTATCCGTGCTCACTATGGATTTCAGAATAGTTCCTTGATATCTGTGATATGAAACTCGAAATGGATGAAAAACCAGAAGACTTATTTCAGAGACTGATTGCCTTCGTTGATGACAATCCATTAACTGCAGGGTGCGGTCATACACACTATGGAACTCAAGTTACCGAGGAGGAAATGTCTCCATCCTTAGAAAATCGGGTAACAGTATTATGGCTTCGTTTAATCCATCCCGGTATGGAATCCAATTAAGTACATGTACTATCGCGCCACTTAAGCCAGAAATATCAATGGCCTTGTCATCCCTTTTAGAAGAAGTGGAAACTGCAGAAGAGGTTCGTTGCATGCGCATGGGTTCCCGGCAACCGTTTCGCTCAGGCCCCAGACTGCATAACCCTCCGCCAAGTTCCAGGCCGCAAACCTTAAAGCCACAACGTGTTACAAAAAGATCGCCTACAATCTGCCCTCTATGCTTACAATCAAACAGGGGTTCCACTGACCACTACCTCAGTCTATGTCCATATTTGCCCGAGAGCGACAGAAAGTTCATGTCACGATCCAGACAGATTATCGTAGACTCTGACGATGATAACACCAATATCATTTCAGATGCTAATAATGCTGATACTCCAACCTTGACGGTTTCATCACGAAGAGTCCAAGTCGACCAGTCTCCCTATCTCGCATTCTACGACCACTATGCCATCCGCATAACCGTCGAGTCTGGTTCTGAAACGAATATGATTAGTCATCCTCTTGCTCTCCAGTTGGGCATTCCTGTTACTAAAACTACACAACACGCTACCCAGGCCGATGGACGAACATTGTTAAACGTCGTGGGAGAAACTCGCTTTGAGTTAACAAGAGACGATCATATCCTATCATTCACCGCATTAGTCGTGGCTTGTATGGGTGTCGAACTACTTGGAGGAACCCCTTTCATGTGTGTCAACGATGTTACCGTGCGACCTTCCTCTTCTTCAAAGACAAGTCCGTCGGTACGACAAACTCAAGCTTCTGTTTTACGAGCGAATACGGCAACCACTATTTGGCCTGGTAAATTCATAGAAGTACATGTTCCAACTGAACTCAACAACATCGACACAGTGGCCATAAAACCCCGACTTGATATATCTTCCCACCAGACAGAAGCATTATGGCCTGCTCCGTCCGTCTTACGACCGATGGGCGGAAAGTTACGTATACCTAACTCTACCGATTTACCAATCATCGTTCGCAGAAACAGACACTTTTTTCAGGTGCTACCTGTATACACCCCGCTGGTGTCACCGAATTCATCCAGTGACATATACACACACTGACCAGGCCCAGCCCGCCCTCATCTGGGCCCTTATTCACGAAAACTTAAACTAAGATACAATCGAAATTTTAAGAAATACTGCAATTCGATTGGCTGACCAGTAAAATCAATTTGCATATTGGATCCGGGTGAAATACTTTCACCTCCTGTTCACAAGCAGTTTCGCACCCTACTACAGCCATGCGACACTGTTTTCAGCACAACACCCAAGGGCTATAACGGCGCATTTGGTCACTTCGCCGCTTAAGTCAATATGGGTCCCGTCCTTCCACCCCAACGAAAAGGCCGTATCCCCCAGTATGCTAAAGATAAGCTAGATGAGCTACAATCAAAATTCGATGAGCTTGAGAGCATTGGAGTCTTCCGGAAACCCGAGGACCTGGATTTGGTAGTCGAATACTTAAATCCTTCATTTTTGATCAAAAAGCCCAATGGTACATACAGACTGGTGACTGCGTTTGGCGAAGTTGGCAAGTATGCTAAACCACAACCATCCCTGATGCCAGATATCGATTCAACTTTACGGTCAATTGCCAGCTGGGATTACATAATTGCTACAGATTTGTCAAATGCCTTTTACTAAATTCCCTTATACGCTGATTCTATGAAGTTTTGTGGTGTCGCTACCCTATTTAAGGGTATCCGGGTATATACTAGGTATGCCGGGTTCAGAGACAGCGTTAGAAGAGATGTGCCGTGTGCTGGGAGACTTGATACAACCGGGATTTGTCGCCAAAATTGCTGATGATTTTTACTGTGGGGGAAATACTCCTGAAGAACTCCTAAAGAACTGACAGGCTGTTCTCAGTGCCTTACACACAGCCTCTCTCAACTTAAAGACCTCTAAAACAATCATCGCGCCGAGAAAAAACACTATTCTTGGATGGACCTGGTGTCCGGGATCTTTAACTGCAAGCCCTCACAGAATCGCCACCTCACATAGATGAAGAGCCCCGGGGTAGAACGATCTAAGTCACTTTTTCAACGAACCCCTGTTAATGGCGCCATCTGGTAGTAAATTGTATAAGCTTTCTGTGAAACAATCAATTTCAGGTAAAAACGATCGGAGTCACATCGAACCAAGGCCCTTCTGAAATGGCCTCCCGGACATATACAAGTCCATCGTATTTATTTGACCTTAATTTGGCTGAAAAGTGGAAGTCAGTTGTTGTACTGGTAATTATGATTAGTATTAAACATCATTTTGAAGTTGTAATTAAACCCACTCGTTGTTCTGTTCGCGTCAAGCATTCTCGTGCAAAAGTCTGTTTTGCCTTTTATGCGAAAAGACAAATATGTGACTTAGATCGTTCTTCTCCCGGGCTCTTCAGATGATAAATCGATTCTATCATCGCGCCCCTTTTCTCCTAAAGTGCTCTAAATTTGCTCTGTCTACCCTCATTCAGAGGCCCTAGCACGCCCCTGACTCATTGTCGAACTTAGTCATGACTTCACACCAAGTTTTATTCCGTCTCATCATTTGAAGAGTCTAAATGAAATTTCGTTGATGCTTGATGAATGCCATATTAATTGAATCTGAAGCAGACTCGACTACTCTTAATCTCCAAATCTCCAATAGGAATTCCACAGTTAATTTCCAAGACGAGAAAATGTGTCGAAAATGGAATCAGCTGCCTTCAAAATGTATATTTTGACACCAAATGTGGTCATTTTGTAAAATTCAAATTTTCCCGCCAAAACTGACCGCCATCTGGAATTATTTCCCAATATTGACTCCGCGGTATAAATTATCCCCAAAATGTGGATGGAAATGATTCAGCTATCCCGAAAGGATATAGTTTGATACCAAACTCGATCATATTATGATAGTTGGAAAAGATTGACATTTTCCAATCAAAACTGGCGGCGGTTTTGGATTTTTGCCAATTTGACCCATTTGGACACTGATTTCGGACATGGGACTTTTTTTTGGGGGGGGGGGGGATAATATACGCCTAGACAAATCATAAACCGTGGTCGGCATTTCTATTACAGCAACTGCCCGGAATATTGCGAAATTGAGTTAAAATGCCTGGACTGACGTCTACAGTCATGATGGACAGACGGCGTACGAAGAACACGAGATAGTTCCCCACTATCCTCCCCTTTACCACAAATGACGCATTTTTTCTCTGAATTATCTGAAGTTGCCATTTCCGTTGTTTCTATTTCGAATTTTCCACGAAACTAATCAAAAAAAAAACCGCAGGTCGGATACCAGGTAAATCAGTGAGTTGGCTGGTACTCTTCCAATTCGACCGTCGGAAAACCTCGAGGCATGTAAAAAAAAATTTCCCTTTGGCAAATTAACGGGGCGTTTTTTTCTGTAACACTACTGGGTGTAATTTTAAAACCGAGGAAGTTTAGTTTGCACATTTCTGCCACAAACGTGAGATGCAGCCTAATTCTGGCATTCTAAGTACCAAACACAATTTGTTAAATTTTATTGTTTTGTACAGCAGTAGTAACAATCTTTAATGCATTAATAAATTGAGTAAATTTCAGAAATATTAAAACTAAAATACGACGTAATCAATAAGGTTTCATTCTTATGAACAATTTACAACAAGATCAAAAGGGTGCTGCTGATCAACATATAAACTCCAGATTAACATGTAACCAAGGAAATTAATTCCGAGATTTGTTGTCGAAAATCTACGGGGTTCTTTTACCAACCAGAACAACCTATTTCATCCATATCCAATGATAACTGATAGGACTTTCGTAATCACTAATCAATTTCGGGGTAGTTTTAGAAAATCACTATAGCTGGTTTCAGAACTGTAGTCTCCGGAGTATCAACAAGAAATTATAGACGGACAGGGTGATAACAATATTTGTCATAAAACAAATCAATTCAAGGAAAAGAAATCTTCATAGAAAACAAATAATAGAAAATATTGTGAGGGCATTCACCATCTTATCCAACGTAAATCGAGGATTTTCAAACCGTTGAAGTAAACTGTTCAATAAAGGAACTTTTGGTACCAATAACAGCAGTAGAAGTTTGTACATCACCTAGTCAGCATCCTCTTCCCTACTTAGTGTAAAAAGAATATATTGTCCAGAAAATTAATTACATTTTGCGAACTTGTTATTGAACGAGCAATTTAAACATACATTATGCAAGAGCCAAATCTGCCTATTGCGGGTCTATCTTTAGGCCTGAAATGTTATCTAAATTATTCATTAGACATTAATTAAACATACATTATGCAAGAGCTAAATCTACCTATTCCAGGTCAAAATCATTAATTAGACATTAATTAACTTATCCAGACTAAAATCAAATCTCGATGTCATCGCTAGCCTGCGATGTTTACTGGATTGGAATCCTATCTGCTGCTGCTCAACGCTCATTGATGATTTTAAAAAAAAATGGATAATCGAGACTATGTTTTTATCGTACCGACCTTAATAATGATGATCGAGGGTAGGCCTAAAATTCAAACGCTATATTCTCGGTTCAGAGTGGATCAATTTGACTGACTTTTCAGCATATTCTGTTTACGTTATCTATTATTTAACTTTTATAAATTAAATTATCTAGTTTTTAACTATTATAGTGAGAACTGCCAGCTCTTTATCTGATCTCCCATAATGTATCTTTAACTTATCCAGATCATAATCAACTCTCGATGTCATCGCTTGCCTGCGATATTTAGCGGATCGGAACACATTTTTTGAAAAATAATTAAACGTATTAAACGTAAAAATGGACAATCGAGACTGTGTTTTTATCGTACCGACTTTAGTAATGGTGATCGAGTCTAGCCTACAATTCAAAAGGTAATATCTTGGTTCAGAGTGGAGCAATTTGACTGAAATTTTCAGCATATTCTGTTTACGTTATCTATTTTTTAACTATTATAGTGAGAACTGTCAGCTCTTTATATAATCTCCCATAATGCCCCTTTAATAATCATTTAATGACTTAATGGGTAACAAACTCAAACACATAGAAAACAGCCACTAATATATTTAGGCTAAGCCAGCTATACAAAACGTGTGGTAAATATACAAACTTTTAACAAATCCGAGAACATACATGAATTTAATTTTGTCTTGAAGTATACCGGTGGCACCAAATTTTCTGGGCATGACTCAACAAGGTGATTTCCTGTAGTTCGCCATGACTACGATTATCAATGAAAACTGGACTGGGGTTTAACATCCTGTATACTTTTTCTGCACTATCCGGGCTAATGAAGACGGTCATATGCCATGCTTATAGGGACCTCGGTTTTTGGTCCCACCCGAACGACTAGACACTGTTTCTGGCCAGGCCCTTCATCACTGAGAAGGGGATCCCGCAATGGAAAATCCCGAGTAACTTTCTCGGCCAATAACAGGATTGACCTCGGGACGACCTGGTTACTTACTGGGCTTCCATGAAAACAAGGACAAACACAATTGTGATGGCAAGTGTGCTTAGATTTGTGCCGCTCGTCAATATGGTTGTTCAAATATTACAATTTATAAACGCCTCTAACTTAAAGCCGAAGATTAAAATTTACCTGACAACACATGATTTTCTACGCGATTTCATCCTCATAGCTTTCATCTTTTTATCATATTCTGAGAGTTCCTCTTTTGGTGTCCCATCACCAGGTGCAGTTCGAGTATCAACCTGGCAAAGATGAATGTATGAAATAAGCACACCCTTTGTTTTTAAACTGAAAACCTTTTCTTTCAAAATCTATTTAAATTGTTTCTTTTGAAAATTCCAGGAAAATATGAAATATTTTTACCCATTTTCCGTTGAACTTTTGTAGAATCATTTCTCTCTGAGCCTTAGCCAATGCTAGTTTAACGGCATCTCGGAATGGATCAGATTTATATCTGGATACTTCGAAATCCTGGATCTGTCTTTGGCGTTCCTTGGCGGAGGCAGCATTTACCCATTTCGTAGCATGTCTAGGGGAAAAAAATCAAAGCACAGAAATCAATATCTTCTAACCAGGATACAGGGGACTTTGTTGGGATATTTGAGGCAGTGTAAGCTATAGCAGCAACGTTTTCAAGAAACAAATAATAGAATGCAGCAGATTGTCGAATGATGGCCCAAACGTGACATCCTTGCCCCAAGAGTGCATGTCTCAGGCACCGTCAATATGTGCAAGGGCGCTCCTAATATAACAAGACCAAAATAAAAAAAATGGCTATAGGTATCAGGGCTAGGCAACCCTATATGGTTTGGTTGTTTAATATGATCGAATCTTTTTTCCCAAATATATATAATCACAGGTATCAACAAAGTAATTTGTTGTGTTTAATTATTTATATTGGTGTTTATGTTGACATTAACAGATTATATTTTGCTTTTCTGTCGCTGTTTCAGATTTATTACTCATACTGAAATGTAATGTGACTTTTGTCTCATAACCCCCTACTGTTTGCAATAATAGCTTACTTGCGGACCAATTGTTCTTGCATCAGTAATCTTCTTTCTACAGCAAGTCTTTTAGTTTCAGCATCGATCTCATCTTCCTGTTTCTAAATGTTAATATAATAAAATTAGTAGAATCAAAGGCAAACTAGAACTGCGAAGCAGTAATGACGGGTTTCACCGGTGCCACGTTACCCTTGAACTTATGTCACTTCCGGTACCAATGAAACCGTTAAACAGGTTTCCACATAAGCATTGCACACATGAAATAAAATGGACGCAGAAACAACCAAATCCAGCAATCAATTCATTTGCTACATGTCAGTGATCCTGTCAAAATTACATTACTTCCGGTGATAATGAAAATGTTAAATTGGTTTATGAAATCAGAAATAGCATCATCACATGTTGAAAATTTTATGTAAATCCTATAATAATTGCCACCTTTATAGACCAAAAACCTTGAAAAATGACTTGTAGAAAATCGCCTATTTCTCTGCAACCGTACAAGTTAGAAACCATTTTGAGGTATCTGTATGATCGAATGAGTTCATTCTATTTGTTGATTGGAATCAAATATCATAATTTTAAAAACATTACAAATCTGATTCATTTGAATAAAATATCTGTTTTGAAGGCTAAAAATACAGTGTTTGCCAAAATGTCGTTACTTCCGGTGATAATGAAAATCTTAAATTACTTGTATGATATCGTAAATGGCATTATGTATCACACAGTGAAAATTTCATGAAAATCGAATAATAATTGACACTTTTTTTGACAAAAAAACCTTAAAAAGTGACCTGTTGAAAATTGCCTATTTCTCCGCAACTGAACAAGTTAGAAACCATTTTGTGATATCTATATGATCGTAAGGGTTCATTGTATTAGTTGATTTGAATCAAATATCAAAATTTTAAACAAATAACAAATATGACTCATTTGAATAAATTACTGGTTTCGAAGGCTATAAATACAATTTTTGCCCAAATTACGTCATTTCCGGTGATATTGAAAATGTTAAATTGGTTTGACCTAGTTAAAATTGACATTACACATCAAATGGTGTCACTTTTATGAAAATCGAATAATAATTGACTCTTTTACAGGCAAACTAGCGTAAAAAGTGACTCATGCAAAATTGCCCATTTCTCGGCAACTGCGCATATTACAAATTAATTTTCACATACATTCTCTCCGTATAGATTATTGCTACGAGTTTATGAAAGTTACGAAGTAATATTTTAAAATATGAAAACGCTGAATGGGTTGTAAATAGCTTAATTTTACACCTTTTTTCACCTTTTAATCGAAATAGCCCGAAAACGGAATCGAAATTAAAAAAAATGGTCCCAACATTTTGTGCGCCTTTAAAGGGCGCACAATTTCAGTTATACCAGATTTGAAAAAAATAATATTTGCTTTCGAAAAATGGTACCTAACTGTCAAAATTGTAGTTTTTTGTCAATTTACGCCACTTCCGGTGCCGACAGATAACACTATTGGTAACAAAAAAAATGACAATTGAGACAACGGGGCATATGAACTTTGTTTTATACAAATCGAACAATAAATAATTAATCTAGGACTGAAAAACTGAATTAGCCAATGGGGGCCAAGGAAAATTACCGAGACAAAAAATTTTCACATTTTTGCCCAAGTCAGAGGACTCGTTATATTTGTGTAAAACACGATTAAAAAATATTCATAAATAAAAAAGTTTTTTGTAAAAATTTAAATTTTCTAAATTTAGCGCCTAATATCTGCGAAGATTTGCCGAAAATCAAAAATCAAAAGTAGCGTAGCTATGTGCCCCGTCTCCGGCTATGCCAAAATGCATCGAAAGTTAAAATCCAATGATTATTGTTAAAATTACTGCAATATTTCTAAAAACGATAGCTTCGGTGATTTCGGACATTTCGCATTGTCGCAGAACGTTCAAAATAGCTTTATCCTCTAAGTCACACCCACTTTTCCGATAAAACCGAAGAAATCGTAACGATCCGACAATCAGTTGCTGAGATCTACTCAAAACAAAAGAAGAATAATAATAATAAGAATAATAATTTTAACAAAAACAATAGTGTTTCACACAAGCTACGCAGTGTGAAACCCTAATTAAACTGCGGGCAATATTTATGGTTATTGAACTAAAATAATCGCCCGTCGACGTAAAAAACAAAACAAAACATAATTGTATGGATGGTGATTTACCTTACCTATACCCCGCTATATACGGGCACAGTTGGGTTATCCAGCAATGGAATGTAAATATATGATCAAACATTACAAAGAAAATGAATTTAAAACAACTCCATATTAACATTTACCCAGACTCTTTGAAAGGCGTTACGAAGGTTTCCCATGACTTTGTTGTATGAAGACATGGAGCTTTGAAACGCGGAATCTTTCATCAATCCATTTAAATCACGAATTCGTCTATTCTGTTCATCTAGAGACTTGAAAAGAAAAAAAGAGACTGATAAATAAATATACGATATTTACGAATAACTAAGGCTCCGTGATTCAGAAATTAAAGATGGTGAGAAAATGGTCAGTTTGGATAAACTTTTACAATGCCAGTTTCGTCAATGGTGGTTATATAATGGGAAATGAAATAGAGTTTTACGTCCTACTTCCTGCACTAACCGGGAAAATGAAGATGGACATACGCCATGCAGTATAGGGCCTACCTTTATATCGAATTCCAACTGTCAAGGGGTGGCTTACGTCCCATCCAAGTTTCTCGGCCTGTATACTAGGATCGAACCCCGAATCTCTCGATTAGTGCCTTACTCACTGAGTCAGTCACTGTGGCTCCAGTATAACATGATGGGTAGTTTGTGTTGCTGACTGGGAACATAAAGATACAGGGAATCAATGTGTTGGACTATTAATTATAAGGGCCAATATCTGATTTCGCGTGAGCCGTGTGGCTATTATATAGTAATTTCACGAAATCGGAATAATATTTTCAGTGGTTTCATGAAATGGTTCTACAAAAGTAGTACGCTACTCACCAGACGTCTCGATTTTTGGCGGGAAAACATTTGAGTTAGTGAATTAAGAGATTCATCCATAACTTCAAACATAGCTGCATCATATTCCGTATCAACGTCTCCTTCATCTTCCTAAACAATATTTAATAAAGTAGATAGTTCATGTTGGCGTACATCGTCTGGATAAAATACCACTCTTGTTGTAACTGAATAATATGTTCCAATCTTTATTCTGGTCAACAAATTGTACTATTTTACATTATTCCAATTAATTGATGATACAAATTTCATCTTAACACACCTACATAGCTTGATATGAGATCACTGTAGCTAATAAAATTGCCTTTAAACCATTGACAATAAATAAATTAATTCATTTCATTAAACAATAATAAAAAGTCTACCTACTTCGTAGCGGGCGAATGCTTCAAGTAAATCTGTTTGAACAGTTGAACGTTTCTGATTATTTTCTGCCATCGAAATGAGCAAATCTTCTTGACTAGGAGTTCTCTGAAACACGAAGGCACGCAGAATGTCATATAGAAAGGCGCGAATAGAAATTCGGTCATCATTCGAATTAAGGGGGAAGTTAATCTAAACTACGAAATTATTCAAATTTAATCAAAAGAAAATTAATTAATTCTATATAAAAAAAAGGGGGGTATGGGATTAATTCTCATTAAACTTATTTGGATAAAAGAACAGAACGTACGCTATTTTTATCTTTCATTGATACAAGGAGGTTGAGTTGTCGTTCTTTTTCTAACTCAGTTTCAACATTTAATGTTTTAGTTGTATGTTGACGAATTAGTTGATTTTTAACGTCTTCTACATGCTGTTCTACCTCATGCCTTTCATCCATTTCGTCAGCTACTTGTCTTCTCTATAAATACCAATACTCAATTATACTTAAAATATGCTATGTTTATCTTTTGCAATAGAACGTCTCCCTTAGAATGCATGCCACGGGAACGTACACAATGACCGAAAGCGATAATACATGATTGTATTCTGGAGTGAAAGTAACATTAAAAGGCAAGGTATACATCCTTGTTATTTTCAATACTAAATTGCCTGAACTCAATGGTGAAATATATCAAATTTACCAAATTAGCAGCCCCCCCCCCTCTTCAGTGAGACCACGTAAGCACCCACGCAAGACAACGTAAGCGCGCCCCTATGCAGTGGCGTAGCGTGGGTGGGGAGGGGGTTCCACAGCGACAGCGACCCCTCCCCTCATGCCCATTTCCCAAAATTTAAAAGCTCCGTATATTACATATTATACGTCGCTATCTGAAATTTATTCGCGCCTACGGCGCTTGATTCCATTATGTCACCATTCTTCCACTCATCTGTGGACTAGCCTGGACTCATATTCACGGTTATAGTAGTACTACTAGTGCGTGGGGCGACAGACTACAAATGTTCTGTCAGCTCTCACTAAACAGGCAGAATTGACAGACAGGTCTCGAGATTATTATACGCCGCTATCTGAATTTTTTTCGCGCCTATACGGCGCTCGATTCCATTATATTACCATTCTTCCACTCCTTTGTGGTATTATACTAACTCATCACTATCATATTCACGGTTATAGTGATCGCCCATTTAGTAGCACGGGCACTTGAAGGGATTAAAATAACATTTCTTACTACTGCTAGTCTCGGTCACCCAGAACATACTACTGCTTGATTATATTATATATTACAATATCTAGTCAAGTAGTAGGAAGTTTTATTTCAATCCCTCCAAGTGCCTGTAGTTAGTAATAGTAGTACCACTAGTGCGTCACTGTGCGTGGGTCATGGGGCAACAGATTGTACAAATGTTCTGTCAACTCTCACAAAACAGGCAGAATTGACAGGAAAGTGACTCAAATTTTCAAAATTTTCTCAGGGGGAGATCCCCACGCCCCTCCCCGACTCCCCCTTCCGGTTGCGCGAGAATCAACTTTATGTCAACTTGCATAAAACTGTTTTCGGGGAGATAACGAGCGGTGAACAACTGGACACAGATCACTAAAGATTTCCCCATTGACTCCAATGTTAATTCTCGTATCTTAGACCGGCTCTAACTTTTTCCCAAATTTTCGTTGGGTAGAACGCTTTCTACCACAGATGGAGCAACATGTGGCAACCACTTGCCCAAAAGCACGTATGAGGTTCTTCATGATACACAAGCTGGAAGTAGAGACAAGTAAACATGCAATTTCAGGCCCTACATTTCAACGTAACCAACCGCTCAACTCTTGTATCCTTCCGCATCAAAATTATGAATATTCACCAAAACCTGGCAGAAAATGTATTTTCAAACCCTTTTCCTCAATTCTACACCAAAAAGTCAACAAAAATCGCCATGCAAAAGGGGGAAAAAGGAAAAGGGAGAGGAAGACTAAAAATAGCTTTGGCCCTTGTTCCGGGATTGTGGATGGCGCCTTAGATCCCCCCCCCACCCCCCAACTTATTCACATACTGCAAATTAGGCAAGACCCCTTTAAGATTAGCTAATATGTGGTTTAACTATGTTATTCTACTTCCATGGTTAATTCTATATAGGAAAGTGGCGTATACCGCAATAAATGTATACGTTTTTATTTTTTTAAATAATTTTAATTTCTTTTTCAACTAACTCTGTCGACATAGGAAAACGCAATTGTTTATGTCTCGAAATTAGCTTTATCTATGGACGTAAATTTTTTATCGAAGGCTTATTGCGATCTGACAAAACAAATCAAGCATTTAAGTTCTATGAAACCGACAATTCTCTTTTTGACTTAGATCATACCTCACTCAATGTAACATTGTTCCAAAACTCGTGATTTATTTTATGAAGAACAATACCAGCTCTTTCCCTGTTCTTCTTTTCTTCTTTAACTCGACGCAACTGTTCCTTATTCACCTCACTGTTAATTAAACAAAACGCAGTTATTTCTTCGTGGATTATATTTTCAAAACAATTATTATACATTTTTAAATGATTATGGGGTTGTGTAACAGATCCCGGTATTAAAAGCTTCAATGCCACATCAAGACTTCGCGGGGTGGGGGGGCAGTGTGTAAGACGCTGGCTCGCTAGCCTGTAGGTCCCCGCTTCGCTCCCGGTTAAAGCCGAGAAAGTTTCCCTTGTCAATGCCAGTGATGCAGGATGGAGGACTCGCAAGCACTACTGTCTGGTCGTTCAGGTGGGACAAAAAACGAGGTCCCGTGTACACATTGGCGTGTACGTTATAGAACCAGAGAAATGAAATGAAATGGAGTTTAACGTCCTACTGTTCCGCTCCTAACCTGGGCTAATGAAGACGGGCATACGCCATACAGTGTGCTATGAGGGAAATTTTGCCCGGACTACGGCCTACTCTTATATCGAATTCCAACTGCCAAGGGATCTTTTACTTGCACGCCAATGTGTACACGGGACCTCGGTTTTTCGTCCCATCCGAACGACTAGACAGCTTTCCTTGTCAGTCCCTCCGTCCTGCATCACTGACAAGGGAGAACCACGCCGGAAAATCTGGATGAACTTTCTCGACCAATGCAGGGATCGAACACCCGACCTCCAGGCTAGCGAGCTAGCGTCTTTACCCTAGAACCAGAGAAGGCTGTGGCGCCGCTGTCCTGGCAAAATTTCCCTCATCGCACACTTCATTATGTATGCCCGTCTTCATTACCCCGGTCGGTGCAGAAAAGTAGAACGTTAGACCCCAGTTCATTTCAAAACTTCGGAAAAAAGTTCCAATAAAAATAAAAGGGAGGACAATAAAAAAAAAATGCAGATTTTCCGAAGGAAAACTTGGGTGTTGAACAAATTTGATGACTCCGGAACGAAAAGTCACAGAACGCTTAATATCGATAGGGTTCAACCTCTCATGATCCCAATGCTTCCCACCAATTTTGAAAGAAATTTGTTAAAAAAAAAATAGCCTTTATCCCGTCGCAAGGTTTTTTGGCAAAGGGAGATAAATCTGAAACGAAAAGTCGCAGAATAGGGTTCGTCCTCTCATGACCCCAATGCTTCAAACCAAATATAATATGAAAAAAAAAAATTTGTTAAAAACTGTAGGTTATATAGAGCTCATAGGGTTTTCCGGAAAGGGGGTATACGGAACGCTGAAAATCGACAGGGTTCGTCCTCTCGTCACCACAATGCTTAATACCAAAATTGAATAGAATCCGTCAAAAACTGTAGCCTCTATCACGTTCACAAGCCAATTGTTGACGGACGGACCGCAGAAATGGTGACGACATAATAAGCTTAAACTGAAATGTGGACGTATAAAAAGGCATTACACATTCTACTATGATAACATTGATCAGGTATTAAAGGCCAATCTTTGAATCGACACGGTTGTCAAAAAATGCATCAATTTATTTTTATTCCGAATTCATGGGGGGGGGGGGGGTTGTGAACCATGTTCAATAGCACCATACTGCAATACTGCTTTATATTACCTCAAATAAAACGCTCTTAAAGGGGTCATTACAACGGAAAGGAAAGCAGAACTCACCCATTGATTGTATGAATTGTCATTCTTCTTGTAGCTCTCTCTAATCTGTTATCAGCATCCACATCCCAATGCGTTCCCGTATAGGCCATTATCTTTTTCTCCATAACTACTTGCTTCTTATTTCTTAACTAATCCAAGAAATAGTGAACATAGCAACATTGGCATCTTTAGAAATTAAATAAGTCAATGTGTTTCCTCGCCTTGGGCCACCATTTTTTTTTAAAGGGACAATAACACTCTTGCTGGCTTGATAGCTCCAGAAAATAAAAAATAGTCTTATTCTAAGTACTAGATGTGTTATTGTCTTACCTGTTGTATAAATTATCCATTAAATCCTATTTTACTTGTCCAGAGGGTTCAAAAATATTTTTCAATCCAAGTCACATTTGAAAAGCTTTACGGCAGGCTTTTCAAATCATTTAGTTGAATTTTCCAATTTTTTAAATTAGGTGTGTTAAGATGAAATTTGTATCATCAATGAATTGGAATATCGTAAAATAGTACAATTTGTTGACCAGAATAAAGATTGGTACATATTATTCAGTTACAACAAGAGTGGTATTGAGCCTTTAAAAAAAATACAAAAAGGATTCTGGACAACACGTCCAATTCAGAGCAATTAGTATGCCTTCTCAAGAATCTGAAGCACTGGTGGGGCATTGGGATAGGAATGCTTGTGCCTCCTCCTTGGATGTGGGAACATTTTTGAATTTCGGGGTACTTTAGATTGAATCCGGCATAATATTCCTGAGTCTAAACCGAAAAGAAGATTTCGAAAATAACGCACCGGACACAAGTCAACATATTCAAAAAGCATCACAGTCGACACAGTATAGAAAACGCCAAATTTTGTCTTGTGTTGTATTTTGTATGAAGATTATTTAATCGCTTCAAGCGTATTTTCTTGTTTGGATAAATAGTTCAGTTATCTATCTTTTATAAAACAAAGGGGCACATACACTATGACTATGCAACCGAACAATAATTCTGCAGCACATCTGTTGCATC